AGTATGCCTAATGTCCTTGACCTTATATTTCCCGATTTTGTCTCCAAGTCATTTCTCTTGCACCATAACGGATCCATGTATAATTTTACACCCGAATACAGTCTGATTTAGTCGAGCTTAGATCGTGCTATATGATGCCTTATACTCGTTCCCTTGTAATATAATAAGTATTATATTACCGTGATTGGGCACCTTCGTGTCCTTTGTGCATATTTATGCTGAAATTTTAATTTAACCAGCAACACGAAAGAGACAAGACTACATAATTACTAATTTCAGTCTCTGTTTTTCTAACTATGTATTCTATAATGTTAACCCCAGCATTAACACACATCATTTCTGACGTTAAAACCTAATTACAACAATAGGTGATAGCCGTACTCAAATTATAAAAGGAGAAAATAATTATATTGATTAAATTTAGAAAAAAAGAGAACTTAAAATTTCTCAAAATGACCATTATTACAATGCAGCATACCTGTTAAGTACTTCAATTAAAAATCTCTCTCAAAGTCAAGGGATAGACTCTGAACTTAAAGCAGAAATATGTACCTATCTTAGAAGTTGACCTATTAATTATTTGAAATGCACGACAGTTCATTAACTCCCCGTCATTTTTTATTTCACAACTTTTCGTTTTAGGATAAAGAGCTTAATTTCAATTGACGTAAATCTGAAACATTCTGTATGATTTCTGTACATTAAAACGCATCATAAAGTAGAGGAAAGGAGGGACTATTCTCATTAGAGAAGTGGTCAAGCTTTCGCCTTCATCCATAAATGAAGTACGAAATGAAGTCCGTGGACGAAGGCGAAAACCTGACCACTTCTTTAAAAAGAACAGAAAGGAACTGTTGAAACACTCCTGCATGAATTACAATATGAATGAACGTCCGAGTTTTAATTTTTCCGTCTTGAGTGTAACTTCACACGTTGCCTCTTTGCATTTATTTACTGCATTCTAGGTTAAGAGGGATCAACAAAATAATAAAGATTTTCTATCGTTTCATAGTGCAGGCTTTCGTCGAGATGGCGAGAAAGGTGGTCGGTCGTTAACCATGGGGGGACAGTGTAGTATTAACTGTACAGTGATCCCTGAAACGTATAAGCATCGACACCATATCCTGCAATAATCTTAAATTCTTTGTAATTGTATAGCTTCTATACGTTCTAACTGATACATTATTGGCCTCAAGGAAATTTGCGGTTAACACCTATAATTAGCATCTCTGTATTTTACTAACAAATGCGTTGCCTAGGATTTTTGCTTCCAGAAATACGAGAACACGGTGTAGAACTACCATATCATTGATAAAGACGATTGATTGTAATACGAAATGCGACTATGATCAACCTCATAGTGTAATTATAAACACGTATAAAATAAATTCATCAAAGAAAAAATAACAAAACGTATAGTGGTACAATTTAGTTTTTTCTCTTCATTTTGAAAGTTTAGGGAGAATATTTCACCAGTACAAGATCTAAGTTTTTTAAAGGTGGGAAATCACATGGGGCATTTTTATGTATAAATTATTTTCTTGGCACGAATCGCCATAAACCCCGAATTTCGGTCACTTCGTTTTGAACGTGTTGTAGATTGGACATGTGTTTTATGCTAATAGGGGTTAGGCTTATTTATAATAGAGATTTTTACTTTTTCCTCTTTTTTGCAAAAGACGGTTACCAGCATAAGTATGCCGCGTTTACCTGAAGCTGTTCGCAACGGTTGTTGCGAATGCAACTTAAAGCACCATATCTCGACTGTGGGATAGTTTCGTATGCAAGAATCTACACGTGATCGTCCACTCTCGGGCCGACCAAGGGTGACATCAGCAGCCCAAGATCGCTACAGCATCAATACTACGTACGGTTGTACACCATTTGAGAGACAGATTTACATCTTCAACATCTACAGCATCCTTGATCTCAGGTTGGCGCAGAATCTCAGATGAAACTATTTGTAACCGTTTGTGGGTGGCAGGGTTTGAGAGCAAGACTGTAAAAGCAGTGATTATGACGCAACAGCCACGTCATAAAACATTTCAGTGGGCCAAAGTGCATAGAGAATGGTCACAGCGATGGAGAAGAGTAATGGTTTAGTGACGAATCGAGATTTTTGATGCAACATGTTATAATGGGCGGGCAAGGGTGTACAGAGGCCGTACAGGGCGTTTCGCTGCTAACTGGGAACTGAAGATTTGGTGTGGGGGAGTGTAATGATGTGGGCAGCAATACCCTTCACTGACAGGACAAATCTGGTAAGAGTCCAAGGTACATTTACGACCCAGAGACATTTTGATGAAATTTTTCAACCCGGCCTTTGTGCTTTCTCTGATGCAGCAAAATGAATGCAATTTTCCGGCAGGACAGCGTACGACCACACACTGCAAGACTTATCACTACTTTTCTACAAAACCACATGGTCATCCAAATCTCAAGATCTGAATCCTGTAGAAAATCATTGGGATGAACTGGACTGGCTTCTGAGACAAAGACAACCACAGCTATAATGACTCGGGTGTTACAGGAGGAGTAGAACAATTGTATTAGAACTTTAATTTGCATCAATAGAGAGGCGTTGTCAGTCTATTATTGATGCTTGCGGAGGACACACTAAGAATTAAAGATACTGACTTATTGGGACCTTGACCTTTGCAAGTCATTTTAAAAAAAATTCAGTGAAAATTAGCATTTTAACATCATTACTGTTGTACAAATAAAAAACTGATTTAAAAAATTAAAATTTCTTCCAAGGTTTATTTTGAAAATTAGGAGCAAAATCTCCTTATGCGTTTCTTATTTTGATAAGCATACATGAGTCATTCAAAAGACCTTTAGTGTCCAGAGCACAAATATCAATATCTAGAAAACATTTTGTGATAATATTTTGTTTTTGTTGTTGAACTTACAATAGCCAAAAAATAATGTGCGTGTTCGAATCAAAGCTTTACCTTCTGTATGAACATGTATGTCTCTGCCAGTCTGTCTGTAGGTGTTTGATCAGTCAATCTGCATATGTCGGTCTTTCTTTGTCAGTCTGTCTGTATGTGTTTAATCAGTCAATCTGTTAGTGCTTAAATCATATGTCGGTCTTTCTTTGTCTGACTGTCTGTCTGTGTCATTCTATTCACCAAATGATTGGACCAGATGGATGAATGATTCCGATGAAATGTTCTTATTTTTTGGAGCATTCAAAAGTGGTTGTTTTGACTTCAGAATTGAAGAATTTATTTATTTTCGACTCATTTGGACAAGCTTCACGCCATGTAAACCTGTATCTTCTATAATTGTTGATTTAACGAATCTAAATTTTTAGAGCGCTCAAAACTCAACATAACCAATATGTAGTAACAATCTTGATTTCACGCTTTCATTTATAAAATGGACTGGGTTTTCAGTGAGTTCCTAAAAAGATGATGCCTAAAAATGTCAGAATGAATGAATGCCAACAAGCACAATTCTGTGACTTATAAAGACAAGACAAAAAGACTGCATAGCCATTTTAGTTCCAAATTATTATGTGTCAGTTTATACGGGAACGAATCCCTATATGTATGTTGTTTTGTACATAAGTCACGTTTTGTCTACATTTAACGAATATACAAATCTGAAACCTTTTTATTATATATTTTCAATAGTGAAATCAATCCTATAAGGGCTTTTTTTTAACTTTCAAGCAGAAAGAAAAAAAATACGATTGAACGCGAGATAAAATCTGGTACCGTAATAAAAACGCATATAGCCCGTATCTTCCACGTTGTAAAACCGACTGTACATTCACAAGGGAAAACGAGGCATTGACAAAGAGTTAATGTGTTCGCTGCTATCAGATCCCATAGATTACAAAATATTCATGAAGATGCTTGCTAGTGGACAGTTATCATGTCAGAATTGTTAAACATACACAGTTCTTAAGAACTGAACTGAAGACAACCTTAGGGACGCCATAGACAGATGATCAATCCATACAGACTAAATTAAATTTCTTGATAACTCACCATTGAATGCTAAGGTTAGAAAAGAAAATTATCATTTTGTGTCCATCAATAACGTTACTAAAGTTTTGCACTTTTCAGATTTGTCAAGAAACTGATTTTCATGAATCAGCAATAGGTTGCAAAGAGGGAACCAAATTATTAACCTATCTAATTCTGTTTTCTTAAAGCAGATAAGTTAAACATTTTTCCTTCTATTTAAGAACCTTTTTCTGCAATTTTTTTCCTGCTTTCATTCAATTTTCATTTGAACAACAACATAGTTGACGCAAACCTTGGTTTCATTCATCAGAATTGTGACGTACTTATTAATCATAAAAAACTTCTCTAATACTTATACCCGTGTTACAGACTGTCGTCGTCACATTAGATAATTTGGATTGCAGGCATTCTTACGTACAACTGCTATGTACTTAATATTCAAAGGTACTCATTGTACCTCATTCAGTAAGCATTGGGTCGGACAACTGCATTAAAGTAGTGTGTCTTGTTGAAAATGTTAATATGGCCATAGTGAAACTGCGTAACACAGAACTTCGAGAACATGTTTATCAGCCTCAAGAGCTTGATCTAAACTTAACTTTCAATCGAAATTAAATTCAAGCACATTGTTAAAATATGAAATATATGATACTAATACAAATGTTGACCAGTTTCTGTCTAAACGTGTTTCGAAGCTGATCAGAAAGTTTTGCCTTTTCATGATTTACTTTGGTATATTTATTCATGTATGCTGAAAAATAGCTTTAAAAACCAACGAGAGAAAATGTTACTTATTGAATTAAGTAATTTAATCAAGTTCCTATCAAATTGTTGATGTTTATCTTCTGTTTTAGTTTAAACATTTCCCGGTCTTCTCTGTGCTTCTTCAGTTGCTAAACGTGTGACTGAGATTGCTTCCGCATCGATTTGTTTACTAGGCTTATTTATAGAATGCGGCTTGTGTTTCGATTTCTAGATGACATTTAAAAGTAAAGTAGTGTTTGTGCCTCCATTACGGACGGGAGACAGTCAGCTCTGATATAACTTATCGCCGAGATTAAGTGTTGGTCACATTTTGGATCTGTTATCAGTACCGGAAGCGATATAAAAGGTTTATACTAAAAGAATATAACAGAGGGTTAAAGTGAGATCCACATCTTCAACAATAGATGTAGATTATTATATCCACCTGCAATATGTAAAAAGAAGTATTTTTGTTCAAGAGTCTACTTGGAGGTCGTGTGAGGTCGATGATTTTCGTACAGATGGCGTGCGATTTTGAATCGTCAGCCTCTGAAGCCGATTTGTTGCACGTTTAATTACAAAAAGCCGACAGCTAGCCGGTTCTCCACTAAGGCTTTGATGGCTTCTGTGTTTGTTGGTAGAAAATAGACAAAGTGCGAAGTATTTACGTTTTTATGTCAGATCTCTGCGGATTCGGATGAACTGTGTGTGAAATGGTGTTATTGGATTTATGAAGAATCTTTTGAAGGTAGGACAATTTGATGCAACCTGGAACGGTCAGCTAAATTAAAATGTTTAATCTCGTACGTTATACAAAAACTGCATGCTCAGCTTTCTGTATAAGTATACGTACTTCTCTACAGAGCCTGTTTGCAGCGTGAATTTTCCCGAGATTAATTATATGGTCATAGTAATATTATGATTTAAACGTTTCTCAGTTCTGTAACATATTGGCGTAATTATCTACTGATACACGTGGAAGACGGAACCTGTATACAATATGTTTCATCGTTACGTATATGAGAGGCACCAATGTAGATCAAGGTAATAGTTCCGGAGGAATGGTTCTAAGGTTAGGTATCTCTTGTGCACCTTAGGGAAGGATGACGTTGCGCTCAGCAGGTTCCCGTTTTGAATTTCATAAGAGTTTTTAAAATACTCGGTTTCCCTACAAATGAAGGAAAAAAAAATGCTGTTCGAATTTTAAAGACTCGAGCCAGATCGAGTCATGATAGCGGTACTCGATCTCTATCTGATTTACAGACTCTCTATGAATTAAGGAAATCATTGAGGAATTTTTATTTGAAATAAAAACAAAACTACATAATGTGCACATACTGATCTGATGTCAAGCTCGAGGAGGGGGTGTCGCGGAGGATATAAAAATCACTGTTTTATGGCAATTTTAAAATCCATCAGTCAAACACATAAAACAGATGTGTTTTAAATTCTGAGAACTTCTCTTTTCACAAAATCAATAACTCTACTAATTAGATACAAACTGTTTGCACAGGTGTTTTTACAATTAAAATTTTACGGTGAATATAACCGTTATGTAAAATTAATCCTCAATTTTGTCAGGAAATATATCTCCACCCAGATTTATTAGCATTTGTTATGTCACATTACATACATCCGCCCCTCACCTTGTGGTCGCTTTGTGTTACAACTGCAACATTTGGACTTGATACATTACAAAAACCGCCACGATACTTTACTAATTTTGTTATGTTTTTTATTTTATGTAATTCGTTATACAGCTCAACCCCACGCTCTGAAATGATACACAAACACCAAAAAAAAAAATCTGTCGCGAATTTTCATGATCTATCGATATTTTTATCTGTAAATGTGATCACACTTGTAAACTTGATGTACTCTTTACAATGAATTAGCAAAATGTTGTGAAGTAGTAAACACCAAATTTTAAATCAATTGAGATTTGGCATTGAAGTTTTTATTTTATTTTTTAAATGTCTACATGTATAGAACCCCCGCGCCCATTAAATTACAAATTAAAAGTATTCACACGCAATGCCCTTGTTTTGAAATTTCAAATGGATTGAACATAATGAAATCGACTCCATTTTTTAAGGTCTTACAGAATATTGAATTTACTGTATCCTTCCATTTCTCTGAATATTAGCTTTAACATTTTAATTACCCGTGTAGCTAGACTTTTCAAATTTCCAAGGAGGCTTTGTGTCAAAAAGTCGAAGTGAAATGCTCAGGTGAATTTTTCGGCATTAACTCTTGATTTCGGGTCCGAAGAAAGCGAAATGATAAATAGCAAAACAAAATATGCTGATTAAAAAATAGTGATACAAATAATGTTGAAATATTTATTACAAAAAAACCGAAAGAATAATATTGATTACAAGCTTCAGGTGCCTTTCCTGCAGTATATTTTGATTTATTTTTCTTCGGGGTGGGGGTGGGGGGTAGTTAAACTACATGTCATGCAGGTTTGAAAGTGAATTATTTCCGACCAAAACTCTCTATCTTCATAAGGGTGGGGGATGGGGGGGGGGGGGTTAACAGTCATTTTTTAAATTTTTGTCATTGAATTTGTTAAGGAGATTCAAACAGTACTTCTGGCTATTTTGTATACTCTGTTCAAAGGATAACGAGGGACCCATATGATAAATTTTAATTGCAGTATAATGATTTTCAAAAAAAAAAAAAAAAAAGAAAGAAAGAAATGGATCATTTCTTTAGATGATCAAAATGTATATTTGATCTTAATTCTTTGTTATTGATTTGGTGGACATCATTGCTCTGATGTTGATGAGATTAATTCATGTCTTGTTTTCAAAACGTAATTCAGTGTTTGATGCACTAAGCTGCTTATAATCTTACCAGAACGATAAACAATCGCTAAGATGAAGGAGCCTGTCAACAAATTACCCAACAGATCCATGCATTTAAAAAAAAAATGAAAAATGATTTTTCTAACCATGAACGATTATTTTGTGAAGAAAGAAATCCACATGTTGTAGCTATAATAATTTAATGCAATTTCGTATATTTTTATACAGATTTTTCTTTCAATAGGTTAAATAGTCTAAAATGACCACGACAACCCAGCCCGTTCAATTCAGTGTCAAATTTTGAAGTTATGTGACAAATTGAAAAATTATTGAAGAATCTAACTAAGTGTGAGATACATGTAGAAAAAAAATACAAAAGCAGTCTTACTCGAAATGAAATGGATTCTCAAGAGAATATTTTTGATTACAGATTTATATCACGAGTAAATTTGTCCCCAAACTACTTGTTTAGCTGGGTAGCAGTAATATATCGGATTCATTAACTGAAGTCTCTCGTGTAATTGAAGTAAAAGGGTTTATCATTAAGGCAGTAATATTCATGATTAAAGAGACATTTTGTACCTAATCATGTTAAGGTCATCATCGTTAACTTGCACATAAAATGTTTCATAAGGAACTCATAAAAAATACAAATGAAATCTTTCCTGGAATTTCTACGTGTATGTAGAACTTGACAGTTAATTCGATCTCATTAATTCCCTGTGTCCATTTAACGCGTCCAATTTGCGTAATGAATTACATTTTTATATTATAAATCTCTCTTCCAGTAATATCTCTTAGTGTAATATTTCATTTAATTACACTTGTCTGTGAACTCTTAACACTTTCTAAATTTGGAAAATTATAACGATATTTGAATATGGGTAATCTTTTCATCATATCTCCAATTTTCAGATACGATTATCTGGAATTATTACAGAATTGGTTGAACAGCGAAATGCAATATCAGCAATCGTAATCATGAACTAGAAACAGTGTCTCGCACAAAATACCATCTAAAAAAAGTTTATTTTGGGTAACAGTAACAATTTTCTGTGGTCATGTTTTTAGTTTGTACGTGAAATTCTTTTTCGCAAAAAGCAGATTGTGTGCATGTCTTTTTTACGTATGCTTAATTAAGACACAGAAAGATATTAAGAAATAGAAAATTGTACATGTCCATCGAATGCGTGCAGAGTGTGCGCTTAATTAACTCGAATGTCTTTTACAATTTTGACTGTAATTATTTATCATAAGCTTCGTTGTCAAACAGTAATATGATCAATACTGTTCTTTCTTGTCAATTTTCTGGAATGCAGTTGCAGTTAATTTTACTTTGTTTGCAGATGCCCAGGAAGGCGGCAGTAAACGAAAGATCGCAAAAGTGATGTGAGCAATTTTATTTCAACTTCCGTAAAATAGATTTTATTGTCTGAAAAGTACTCACGCCTTTTGGATGATACTTGGATTTTATATTACATTGGAATATTTCGTGATAGCGGATGAAATCACAATGAAACTCGATGATGGATATAAACAATGATGACATGGAAGAAAAAAGGAGCTTCATTCCGCGAGTGGAAATGAAAGGATTATTTCGCGACAAAGGAAACAAAGCTATGGGGAAATTTTTACCCAATTCTACTTATGTTGTCCCGGAGTATGAAGAGTCGGAGTTCAACTCGTCTTCTAACCACACTTCCTGCACTGGGACGGACTCAAAATCATACCAAGTGTCCATGGGCATGAACGAGAAAAACTCCATACATACCACTAGAATTCATAGCAAAAACAATGTACAAGCTCAAATTTACAATTTCTTAGAAAGACCTACCGGATGGAAGTGTTTTATATATCATTTTACTGTGTGAGTATATTTATTTACACATGATATTTAGTTTCCTTTTATGATTGTGGATAATGAAAATCTACTTTTTATTTCTTTTAGATATTGGAGTCCTAGTTATGCATCTTGCATATAAATACAGTAATTAAAAAACAGAACTTGGTGTAAAAACGAACATTTTCTGAAGTCCGATTTCTTTAAATTTAACACGTACTTTGTGTTGTTTTTTTTTATTTAAAACCCAAGAGTCTTTCACTGACAAAAATTATTACATAAAACTGGGATATTTTACTTGTATGATAAGAATTACAATTTCCACCCGATTTTCTTAAAGAACGAAAGTAATCAAAAAAAAAAAAAAAAAAAAAAAAAAAAAATCCTAAATTTTATTGCATATAAACTTAATGGTTTACAGCGAATAAAGGTTAATGATTTTTAAAGATTTGAAACTATTAATTCATTCATTTTTCGTACAGCTGCTTGATCAAAGAAAGAATCAGAATTTTTTCAATGAAAGCATCTCATACTTGCAACGGAACGAAACCGTGAACCCTCAAGGATCAAAGATATGCAGATTAAAATGCTTGATTGGTGTACTCTAAGCGCTATAGAGGATTTTGTATAAAGCAGAAACGCACGCCGTGACCTTAAAATATTGATTCATTTGTCAGAATTTATATGGCATAATCTAAGCACATTGGTAAAACATTAGCGAAAGTGGTTAACATTGAATACGATACAACATAAAACGTATCTTATTACAGAATACCAGAGTTCCAATCGAACCTCATCGATGATATCAAGTTATGGTGATAATACTTAATCAAGATGTATCACGTGATTTGAAATATTAGGATCCAGTAGCGGGTGTAATTGAGGTCTCAGCACAAGGCTAAAATCCAATAAAAATCGTAAGAAGCTGACGGATTGTCAAGCAATGACCCATAAACTACCAGATTTCGTTCAGTTTCATTTCGACATATGTCGAGTTCTATAGACTTTTTATTATCGCCAAGAACGCATGTAATAATATCGTGTAATGGTTGGTTCAGTAAATATTTATTGCTTAATCAGGCCATTCCAAGTTTTTTCTCTGTTTAGCGTCCACCCCTATTTCAAAAACCTACCTACCTATTCGCAAAAAACACACAAAGCAAAAAATAAAACACAGACTATATAATCATAAAAATGACGTCATTCAAAGGAATTGATTTCATTAATCTTTTTTTTTCCCTAGAAATATATATTCTTTAACAAAATCAAGGTATTAAATGCTTAAAATATACCTAATATGACATATTGTAGAGAAATATTTAGAGAAATTGACAGAATTCAAAGACTTCGACCTGAATAATCAATTTCAGGACTCTTGATTTTGTTTGTTTTTTCTGACACCCCATGTGTCAAAAAAAACAAGGCGCACGCGGACGCTAAACATAGAAAAAACTTGGAATGGCCTTGAGGGAACATTTTCTTAACTACATGACAGATTTCAGTTTTGGTAAGAGGAGAAAGGTACATGCATAGTTATCCCCAAGTTCCCTTTATTCACTCAAACCATTCATATTGGTACACAAAGAACATGAAGCATTTAAGCATGTCTTCAAATATTTTATTTATTCTCTTGTTTGTAACAATAATGTTTGACATCCTTGAAATTATTGGCACTTGGAAAGATATTTGATTTAATGCTTATCATGTCCACTATATAACATTAGTAGGACACTACTCATTAAGGGTCATCATCAATCTATTCACTTTAAACTTTCTATTTAGATCAGACTGATGGTGTACACTGAACGTAGCTTTTTGATATTTTTTTTTAAAACAAAATTTCATATCTATGTATTTCTAAAAGGGGGTTTTTCTCTTAATATTATTTCAAAAACGTGATTTAAGTTGCATATAACAGTGTAAGTACATACGTTTATATTGAAGTGAGGGGGGATACATTACTGCGACATCGCAAGTGTAGAATTTTACAACTCTTAACTGCGATGTTTCTACTTGAAATAGGTGTTCATTACCGCGATATTTTTCTAATAGAAAATTCTTCTTACATTTTATTTCATTCTGAAAACGAGGCATTGCAGCCATATTTAAAAAGTTTGTATCGTGACATGCATTGCAAATACGAGGTTTGATGAAGATTAGGCATTTTGTTTTGAATTAGAAGACAAGCTGTCTTGTTCTATTAGTGGGAAAACATTTCTTTGGTATTTACTAGATTCATTTTTTCTCTCTCGATTTTAAGGTTTCAAATTAAAAATAAACACAGAAACTTTTTCGATAACCCTGGTTTGAAACACTCGGCATAAATTCTAATTTCATCTTTCTCTAAAAAATAATATGTTGAATCTGATGCTAGGTATTTAAGAGAAAAAAAATATAATTTTTGTAATCGAAGTATAAATCTACACTATAAATTAAACGTGAGGTTATATTGAAGGTTAAAAGCGATGCTATGACGAGGGAGTGAAATATTCCAGACCTGATTGTAAACAATAATAAATCAATCTATTACAGGTTCATGATGGTGTTGATCTGCCTTATCTTCAGTGTCTTATCTACTATAGAAGACTACGACGATTTTGCAATGGAAACACTTTTTTGGATGGTATGTTTTTATATTCAATCAACATGATAAGAGACTCGTGTGAGTTTATCAGATCAAATTAACGTCTCATCGTCCCTTATTTTTAACTTGTGGGCTGTTCATAATATTTTGACATTTACAAAAAGACTGGTTAATGTAAGTCTGGCTCTAATGTATACAAGGATTGAAGTAATGGAAAGTCAAAGGGAGAGTCTGCACACAATAAAGAGTCAAAAATGGGGGGGGGGATTTATCTGAAACTTTCAGAGAGACCAGTAAACTAACAATGATAAAATTTGAATTGATCTGCCTTGTACATTTACAAATATAATTTCTTATAATCATGACACCAGGATCTAAGAAATGATATCTTGCATAGAAATGCTTGAAAATCTTTGAAGATTTTCATGCAAACAAAAATTCATTTTACCATTTGCATTTGAATTTATATGCATTCGTAGAGAGAGAGAGAGAGAGAGAGAGAGAGAGAGAGAGAGAGCCCTATATGACTAAGACGTCATGGGTAGTGCGTAAGTAAGTTATGAAGTAAATGTGTAGGAAAGGAATTAAATAAATGTGTAAGAATGTTAATAAGGAAATAGTGATTAGCAAGTGTGTAAGTAAGTAAGTAAATTTAGTAAGATACAGATTAGTAAGAAAGTAATTAAGTTAGTAAATCAGTAATTTTATAATATTGTAGATTTATAATACAGTTGTTTTTTTTTTTTCTAGGAGATTGTTTTAGTGGCTTTCTTTGGATTAGAGTATGTGATACGACTATGGTCGGCAGGCTGTAGAAGCAAATACATGGGCATTAAGGGACGATTCCGGTTTGCTAAGAAACCCATCTCTATCATAGGTATATGTATATCGCTATTATCACATAAATTAATGACTGATTCTGTAAAAAATATATATTTTATGCAAAAACCAATTTTGATTTTTATTAAATTCCTTATATGTAATTTTTTGTGAAGCTAAAAGATAAAATAATTATGAGATACTTGTAGATGTATATTGACTGTGACTTTTATTACATTCTTAGTTCGGTACGTAATTTATTGTCAGAAACCAATTTTTTGAAAGAAAACACATTAACTTTCCTTGAATGGATTTGAAGACATACAATTATTACATTCTCTTTTATTCCGGAAAAAGAAACACATCTCGCTAAAACCGTAATTTTATTCAACTTAAACTTTTAGATTTAAGAAAATGTAAGCAGCCCTGCAGGAAAGCAAGGTGTTCTCGTGTGACTGATTTATTTATTTATTTTTGTAATACTCTCTTACGTGTATGTGAACAGATCTTATTGAGGTGTATTTAACAATTTCAGATTTTCATTACCCTAACACAATAAATCTTTGTATACTTTATACTGAAGAAAAGAAAATAATTTATGTAAACTGTGCTCATTTCTCTCCGAATCTACTGCAAAAGAAGTTGGCGGTGGATCTTTAGCTCTACTGGCCAGCGCTTCTGCAATAGTGGGATGACCCTTGTCCGTCCGTCTGTTTAGCTGTCCGTAAACAATTTTCCAAAACGCTCTACTCAACCTACAGTTTTGGCCCAGTTTCAATAAGACTTGGTACCAAGTAAACTGTTCTAGATACATAATTTTTTGCTATCGGTTTTTGATTTCGACAAACGGTATTGCCATGGTTACTAAAAATAGAAATTTCTGTGAAATTCTTTCAAAACACCACTCCTCTTTTAGTTCTGATCCAATTTCAATAAAACTTGGTACAAGTATACACTATACTAAGATACATAATTTTATTTATCACTTTTGATTTCAATGAACAGTGTTACCATGATTACTAAAAATATATATTTCTTTGAAATTATTTCAAAATGCTACTCCTCCTTCAGTATTAGTTTAATTTCGATGAGATTTGGTACAAAGTATATTATACTAAGTTACATGATTCCTTATATCTATTTTTCATTTCGACAAACTGTGTTGCCATGGTTACTAAAAATAGAATTTTCTTTGAAAATCTTTCAAAAGGCTACTATTCCTACAGCTTGGTTCCAATTTCAATAAGACTTTTTACACGAGAACACTACTAACTAAAGATACATAATTCTGTATATCAGTTTTTAATTTCGAAAACACTGTTGCCATGCTTACTAAAAATTGAAATTTCTGTGAAATTCTTTCAAAACCTCTCCTACAATTTTGGTCCAATTTCGATAAGACTTGGTACACAAGTATACTATACTACGTTTAAGATACACCAAGTACACAGTAGAGCTTCAGCCTCGTCAGATACTGGTCTGATTTTTTCTGTGAAGTATTGTAATATTAATTTTATAAGCTAAATGTCAGGGGAAAAAAAAAACCCAACAGATTTTAGAAAATTCTACTATTTCCTTTCTAAAAAAAAAAAATATGAAAACCTATTGCAATCATTTTTAGTAACCTTTAGTTTTTTTTTACGGCGCGGGTGTAGGAAACTTACAACAATCTGGGTAAAAATCATTGTATATTTTTTTTATTACATGTTTTAATCCAATTTTAATGGTGTTCATCCCCTTTTGAATTATCAGTCGGCTGACTTACGCTGCGGATCGTCAACTATATGTCACTGAAAATATGAAAAAAAGACACGTGGTTTTTTTTTTTTTTTTGTTTTGTTTTTTTGAAGTAGGAATGATTTTATTTTTTATTAAATTATTCAGATTTCTTTTTTCTTCTTCTTATTTCACGAAATAATTAATGCATATTCATGAATAATTATGTTTATATGACATTGAGGGGTTAAAATACACAGTATGGGACGTGAAAGCTTTATTTGTAAGTGAAAGCTTTATTAGTAAGTGATGTGCACGGGATAAAGGAGTAAACCTGAAGCTTATCCTTATGTATCACACACACTTAGTTTTATTGCGATGAAATTATATTCTATGATTACCAGCTTTTTATAAAAAAGAATATTGATTTCCTTGAACCTCATAAGTGTGCAATACGTTGCTGACCATGAACTGGTATTGGGTATTCTCTAATCTATACGAAAGAATATTATTTTTGATGTGTAAGTGTAGGGATCACTCTAACTTACAAGGAACGATCATTAGACAAGAACAGATATAACATATTCGTGACCATATTTACTACTAACAGTTTTTCATGCCTCCATTAACTTTTCAGTCATACCGAAACAAAAGCTGAATTATGGGTCAGAAATGTTAACAATTGTCGTATAACGACCTAAGTGATCACGAAAAAGTATGAGGAGTTTATGTGTATGGCCATATGATGCTTTGATGTTAAATGATTTAACGCACGGAATTACATGCAAGTCTCTGTGCTGCCTTGAGCGAGTTATTGCACCTCCAGTTGCAAAAAATAACCATTCGATGTATAACTTAAGAGTTTATCTTTATATTTTTCTACGTATTGGGTCAAAAGGCTTTCGTAAAAAATATTTTAACGTGTCAAGACAATTAAGCCAAATATCTGCTATGTACGATGTCTCTTTTTGTTAATCTAACACCATTGTCTTAAAACGACTCGCACGATAAACATTTCATTTTTTAAAAGCAATCCTTACAATCCTAATTATCTTTTTATTACTACTTATAATAAACTAATTTCACCCTGATTCTGCAAGTATAAAGAAGATTGAAAATCCTTTTGCCATGACAAACACCTTGTTACCATGACAAATACCCTGTTACCATGACAAACACCTTGTTACCATGACAAACACCCTGTTACTATGACAAAAACGTTTTAATTGCAGATTTATTTGTTGTTTTGGCTTCCATGGTTGTTTTTACAATTGGCTCCGAGGGGCAGATATTCGCCGCGTCAGCAATAAGGTATATACACCTAGAATAGTTTATTATGGACACCATTTTCTTTTTACAGATCTAATCGTTGTCGTGGCTTCTATTTGCGTTTTTACTATTGGTTCAGAAGGCCAGGTATTTGCTACTTCCGCGATAAGGTAAAATTTGACTGTGATGACGTCTACTGTATTGTCTACTTCCGCTTCCTGTGTGCTTGTACAGGATCTAGAACTTTGCTGTTCTTTCTTGACATGTCTTCGTCTGTTGTCTATCATTCAAATATTGCGAAATGTAGAAAGTATACTTGCAATTAGTTATCATTTCGGAAACAAAGTCCTGGATCTCTTTCTTTGCAAACCTTTGAAAATCTGAAAAGCTTGTTTCCGATCTGATAAACATATAAAACTTTGCTTGTGGTAGACGTGTATGAATGTGTTGGTCGAATGAAGAATATAAACGAATGGTTGTTACGGACATTTGCTGATAATAATGCAGTTACATTTATCGTAGAAACTCATTTTAGCATCAGGAATGTGTTACTAATCGGTCAAGAAACTTTTGAAGCTTCTTGGTCAGACATTAGAGAGTGGGCACGCGTAAATAAAACCAAGGTTATGACAAACGATGGATTACATCTGTTTCTAAAGACTGAGACGTGTTTTTAGAGAAATGCATGATGTAGATTTGATTATTTCTTTTCTAGCTTTAATGCCTCCACTTCTTTGACAAACACATATGCTGTCTTCATTTCTGTTGTATGGTATCCTTTCATTCTAATCTTAATGGCTTCCTTACCTAAATTATTGACTCGATCTGGTTGGCTTTTGGCCTTATTTACGTGACCCAAGAATAATGCTTTTAGATAATGGCAGGCATATTATTTATTTATTTGAATTATAGATATTCTTTCATCAAAGTAAAAAAGGAAATAATGTAGTATAAAATGTGTATATTTTATTTTAAAATTTTATTTATATCAGTTATTAAAACAATTTGCTAATTATACTGTAAGATACATGTACTTTTATTTTGATTGACGAAATCTCAAAATTTACAATTTTTAAATACACATGTATCATAAATAAAAATATTTATCATACCGTTCATGACCAATATCTCTAAACATTAAAAAAAAGTACAATCTGCTTGCATAGAACGAAATATGGATGTGATTGACGGCGAAATCTCATATTTTTGAGAAATTTTAGGGTAGCACTATTTTTCTCATTAAGAAAAGGGGGGGGGGGGTTATCCACACTTCAGGTGCCTGTGCCTGTGGTTTACTGAGACTTGCGAGAAATCCTTCTTTTCGAATTAAACAACATTATTATTTTTTCTTCTGTCTATTTTTATAAGATAAGTATCGGTTAGTTCGAGTGAGTACAATTTGCAAAGGAACGAAAGTACTTTGACTGAAACCGCGGATTAAGATAATCTTGGCAGTGAATGGAGATCCCTAACAAACCGAGGAGCATTACCGAGTTCACTTAAAATTTAAAGTAGAATAGTCTTACTGATCCGAACTCTGTTAGTAATAGTATACTGAAAAGCTGAGTCTGTACAAAAGAAATTTGTCTTTATCACAGTGCTTCAGCGTAACTTCAATCCGTACATCAACTTTTTCAGTGGAATAAATACTAGTATGCTACCCTTATGGTTTGTCTCAAATAGACCAAAACTGGCGCTGTGGGTTAATATACAGGTAAAGGATAGACAAACAGCCTAAAAAAAGGTAGACTAAAATATCAAAGCATCTTGTAAAAAATCGAAGGATCTTCTAAACTAGAGACACAACAACTATGGTTTAAAAAGAAAAAGTTGATGATCCATCGTGCAGTTTTTGGATATTTGCCTATATGTTGATTCTGCGCAGGCATTTTTTTTTTCAAAATACCGGTGACTGGATTAAAAAAAATCAAAAACTTTTTCTGTCTCTTTCCCAATTATACCTCGTACCATCGCTATATGATCTCAAGTGGACTTTACTTTCGGCTCTACTAGTCTAAGTCAGAAAAATACATGTATATGCGATAGTAATGGATCCGTTGTTCGTCTGTATGTCTTGAAAAAATTCTTTAAAATGTTACTCCATCAGAAGTTTGGTCCGATTTCAATAAAATTTGGTACATGCACACAAGTAGACTGCAGTTATATACATATTTTGATTTTATTTGAACAAATGGTGCAGCCATTGTTACTAAAAATAGAATTTTCTGTGAAATGCTTTCAAAAATCTACTCTTATTGCGGTTTTGTTAAGATTTCAACAAATAGTTTTAAATATTTATTATCCAGTTTATCTGTTTTTGATTTTGACGAACATGTTGCTATGATAACTAAAAATCAAAATTTTAGGGAAATTATTTCAAACAGTACGCCTCTGAATACTGCACTGTGTGAGGTGCAAAGTTCTGTGTATCGATTTTTGATTTTGACGAGCAATGGCGATTGCAATGATTACTAAAAATTATAAAATCTGTGAAATTCTTTTAAAACGCCACATCGTCTACAGCTCTGGTATTTTTTCAATGAAACCTGATACACAAGAATACTAAACTAATGCCCATAACTCTATTTGTCAGTGTTGAATAGCTCCTCAAAAAGAATATAGGTGAAAATCTCTCAAAATGCTACTTCTCCTACTTATAATTTGATCTCAACGAAACTCGGCAGAAGTTAAGAAAATATCAGAATACATGATTCTGCAAATGTAAAATAAGAGTTTCTTCCTTTATTATAAGTACATATAGTTCAGATACATCATCAATTATAGAGATTTTTGTTGAGAATCTACGTGACGTGAGTCAAAATTACAACACACATTCCGGTAATAGTCAACAAAATTATTGAATAGAGAATACGCGTCTCAATATGACAGAGCACTTGGTGCAGTCGAAATTAAATTTTCTATTTTAACCTAAACAATGTCAAAGCTGGAGTTTAAGTAAACTATCAAGACTCGAGATATACTTTGGATGATGGGAAAAAAAGTAATCAGAAGGTCGTGTCCGTTTACTACAATACAGTGACACGACATAATCGACTGATATATAAACCAAGGACATATATTACCCGTAACTCTCACCGCGGCTAAAGTTAATTGCAAAAAGCAATCGTTTTGCGGATGCTGAGGGGAACATCTATTATTGGTTACAAAAATTAAATTGGTTCTCCGATGGACCAGACAAACATAATTAAATTCATTGTCGCTTAGGCGCTTGAAATTTGCATGCAAATGTTGCTGCAAAAATATAATTCGTAATATTCTACATAGAGTTTGTATATATTTTATAAACAAGGATATTCATGCTAATCAATTTTCATTTAGATGTTTAGCTATCTGCAAAAAATTGCAGAAATACATTATCTGTAATTGTTGTGCGTATTCTGCAAGCGCAAAGATGATTTTTCATTTTACTTAACAGAATTTTCAATTTGCCACTAATTAAAAACAATAAATGATTTATGTTTTTCAATTTTTTATCTTTGATAGCAAAACAAAATTTTCGAAAATGACTTAAGATGATCTTTGATAAAAATTTGTAAAAATATTTTGTTGGTTTGTTTGCTTTTCAGAGGGGTCAGGTTTTTACAGATTTTGCGCATGTTACATGTAGATAGACAAGGTGGAACATGGCGTCTGTTAGGTTCCGTTATATATCTACACCGACAGGTAATTCAATAAAATTATGGTTGTTTTTCTCAAGAGTCATTTATCATATTCAAAAGGGATCGTAAATTTGATATAAATCTGATTTTGATATTGACACGAGAAAGAAAAATATTTAAAGAATTTAAAATGTTTTATTTAAGATCTAAATTTTATAACCTGATAAATAAAGTATAGTTTTTGTTTTACGTTTTTTAATTATATTTGTTTATTATCAACAAAAAAATGGTTTTAGAAATTGTATACATGCATAGATCGACGAATCTGTAATAATATGTTAAATATACATATTCGTATTTTCTGGAAATATCTCCGAGTCTCTAAGAATCACCAGACTAAGCCGGAATTATTTTACTTGCAGGAGTTGATCACGACTTTGTACATAGGATTCCTCGGTCTCATCTTTTCTTCGTACTTTGTTTACCTCGCAGAAAGAAGTGACAAAAGAAAAGATTTTAATAGCTACGCAGACGCCCTCTGGTGGGGAGTAGTGAGTACTTTTTTCCCGTTTATAGAAAGCTGCACAAAGTCCTTTACAGTGACTTGTTGGGACTATTGCATCCTTTATATACATGTATATATAAAATGAGAGACCTTCTGGTGGCGCTATGAGTACTAGCTTTTGCTTTTTTATAAGTTATGTTTATGTAGCTTCAGATTATAAACACTTACATAGCAACGCGGATGCTGTCAGATATTAGATGAGTTATTTTTTCTTTTGGTTTAATTAATTTTTGTTCAGCTGCACATGCGCCATTTGGTGGTAACAATGGTGATAACAATTATTCATTGTAAACATCCACCTTTCTTCTGAGTTGTAAATACGCTTCCTCGGTTTACTGTTTATTTATGGGCATGCAATTGTTAATTCTTTAGTTTAATTTTCATGTATAAAAAGTGCACATACACCGTCTGTTTGGTATATATACTGTTTAGTTTATAAATAGCTATATAGATGCTCTCTAATGAGGTTTAATTGAAAGTACTTAAGTCTATAAACAGCCCTGTTTGGGGGAAGTTAGTATTATTATTCAAAATTATTGATTTGATCTGCGAGGAGAAAGAAGCCATCTAACGATAATTAACTCATCCCAAATATAAAGTCCTAATACATAAATATCGTTTAAATAGATAAATAATATTAAACGAATATTGTATTAAGAGATAAATGACGTGTTGTAGATAACCGTGATGACGATCGGGTACGGAGACAAAGTGCCACAAACATGGCTGGGAAAAATCGTCGCCTCCTGTTTTGCAGTGTTTGCAATTTCTTTCTTCGCTCTGCCTGCAGTAAGATTTCACATATGAGAATTTACTATATATACATGTAGAACAACGATCTCTTTGACAGTAAGACACATTTATGCGTAGTTTTCGTTATGAGAGAGAGAGAGAGATAGAGATAGATTCAGTTTCCTGTAAAGATAGCCTTATAACATGTATATTTATTTATCAAAAGTGACTTACATGTTTATTCTAATGTATTAGGCACAAAGATATTTCACACATTGTATATTGAATGTTTTCTCCGTTATACGTTGTTGGGAATTTGTTTTGGTGAATTGATCTATATACCATAATATTCTAATAGTACATGATAGTACAAATGTACATTTCATTTCACTCCATTATGATTTACCTGAATTTTAAGGGCATACTTGGATCGGGCTTCGCACTCAAAGTCCAACAGAAGCAGAGGCAGAAACATTTCAACAGGCAGATTCCAGCAGCCGCTACACTTATCCAGGTATGTCATTATAGTGCAATTGTTCAGGTACATTATTGTAAAACATTGTTTAGGTACATAATTGTACCGTATTGGTCAGTACATTATTGTAGTGTATTGTTCTGGTACATATTCTAGTGCATTGTTCAGATACATTATTGTAGTGTATTGTTCAGGTACATATTGCAGTGTGTTTTTCAGTGTACATTAATGTAGTGCATTGTTCAGGTATATTACTATAGACCATTCATTGGTCAGGTACATTATTATACATGTATTACATTGGTCAGGTACATTATTGTAGTACATTGGTCAGGTACATTATTTAGTGTATTGGTCAGGTACATTACGTAATGCATTTGCAGGTACATTATTTTGGTACATTTGTATGCAAGTATAAATTTTCCAATATTTTTTCTAGCCTTATATCGAAGATAAAAGTATATTTCATGGTCAAAGTATTTTTAATTTGATGTTAGTTCCTTCAGTTTTGATAATTGAACAGGTGATAGCTGTGTATTTGGTCAAAGGGGATTACCCCTAAATAATAAAATCCCTTTTGAACATTAGATTATCGGTTGCTTTTTGTACCTTTCGTAACCCCCCCCCCCCCCCCCCCAAAGAAAATAGTTGAAAGTTGATTTGCATACGAAAGCTAAGCTTCAAAGTGCAACAAAAAGTAATAACTGACATTCTTTTTTGCAGTGTGTGTGGCGCTGTTTTGCTGCAGACCCGGCACACCATTCAGAAGCCACGTGGAAAATCCACATTCACGACGCATCCAATGAGGAGAATATGTTAGCGCGCATGGCTCGACGTGCAAGTTTGACGTTAAGAAAAAGACGCTCTTCAAGGATGGATTCCCTAGGGAACCATTATAGAGAAAGCATGACCTCTGTTTTTACTGAGGATAAACTAGGTATCTAGGAAGATTAAGCAATTTAAAAGCAAGAGTCCAAGATATTTCAGACTCTCTTAAAAGAGCAAAATTGAAAGAAATTGCAGGGTAAAGAGCAATGGCAAGTACTCTCAGTGCATTTGTTAATCAAATTGATTCATCGATATGAAAATCCATTGATTAAATGCAACAAGAATAAAAAAATATCATTGTGTAATTCACAGCTGTAGCATATTCAAAATAATGTTTACTAGTTTTACCAAATTTTCAATTTTTACATTTTGCCACAGTAATATTAGTACATGTATTGGGAAAATTTAGCGATTTGCGTTCAAATCTGAAACACTACCATGTTGGGAAGTACCTATTGCAAATTCTTTGTATAAATTTGTAAATTAATATTTACTAGTATCTGATACGAAAATAAAAATAAGATTGACATTGAAGCAGCTATTAAGACTTAACCCATGAATTAAAAAATCACATCTAATCATCGGATCGTTCACGGTAGCTCAGTCGGTAGAGCGCTCGCTCTGTGATCGGGGAGGTCGTGAGTTCGAATCTCGGCCGAGACTGACCCAAGTCGATAAAAAATGGGTAGCAACTATTCCTTCGCCATGCGCTTGGCACTTTGAAGTGAAAGTTGCGGGTCCCTCGGATGAGACCTTAAAAACCGAGGCCCCGTGACACGGCAGGCGTTGGCACAATAAAGATCCCTCACTGCTCAATGGCCCTGAGTGCCAAGTAAAGGTCAAAATTTGAAGCCCTTCACCGGTATATGGTGATGTCTCTATATGAGTGAAAAATTCTCGAATGGGACTTTAAACAACATACAATCAATCTATTAATCGATAGCACACCGATAACTGCATGTAGATCCGTGACTTGCATGTATTGGGCGTTTCCCAAAGTCACGTGTTGTCTAACCAATAAAAGGTCTGTAGAGCAGGGAAATTACAAATTAAAAAGGCAAAAATGTACATGTAAGTTGCTGTCTCGTTTTAGAGTCTTTTCAGACTAAAAGTCGATTGGATCATGTGATAGTGTTTTTACATTTATGCAAGTGTCTTTGCGTGCCTTTCTCATAGACATACCATCCTTCTTTAATTGCACATGAAACACATTTCTTATCACTTGGTAAAATTAAATAAAAGTTTTCTTTTTTTTTTTTTTTAAAAAAGAGAAATATGAATTCTTTGTTTTATCAGCTGGAACACCCCGAAACCCGAGGAGGGATTTCCAGAGACAGTGCTCAGGTTCTAGTACGTATCATTCCAATAGCATTACTGGGGATAACTACATGGATGACAATGATTATGACAATGAGGAAGCAGAAAAAGTAGTCCAGTAAGATAATAAAAGTCAAATTTTAAAATTTAATCATAAAAAACGTATGTGATATACATTCTGAGCAGCAATGACTTCATTTTGTTATGTATTTCGATATGGAGCAAAACTGAGGTCTTCAGAAATTGCATGATGTGGTTTGTATTATAAGAAAAAAGAATAATGTTGTTTTAGGTGTACAATTACACATGCATATGTATCTTTGAATACAGATAAAATGGTCTGTTTAGATTTACCCATTTTCTCATGTGATACATTGAAACCCATATTTGATTAATTGTTGTTAAGGATTGGATCTTCCGATGATTTTTTTTTTTCAGTTTAGGAATCAAATGAAGTGTGATTACAAATTATCATTAAGCTGTAACGCGAGTTGTTCAGTTGTACATGAATACATATTTTTAGCTCACCTGAGCCAAAGGCTCAAGTGAGCTTTGTCCGTTGTCTGTCGTCGTTGGCGTTGTCGTTGACGTTGTTGTTGTTGTTGTAAACTTTTCACATTTTCATCTTCTTCTCAAGAACAACTGGGCAAAATTCAACCAAACTTGCCACAAAGTATCCTTGGGTGGAGGGGATTCAAGTTTGTTCAAATGAAGGGCCACGCCCTCTTTCAAGGGGAGATAATTAGGAATTAGTGAAAAAATAATGGCATCATTTAAAAATCTTCTTCTCAAGAACCACTGGGCCAGGAAAGATGAAACTTATGTGGAAACATCCTCAGGTAGTGTAGATTCAAGTTTGTTCAAATCATGACCCCCGGGGGTAGGGTGGGGCCACAAGGGGGGATCAAAGTTTTACATAGAAATATATAGGAAAATATCTTTAAAAATCTTCTTCTTAAGAACAGCAAAGCCATGATTGGTCATATTTATATGGAAGCATCCTCAGGTAGTTTAGATTCAAGTTTGTTCAAATCATGACCCACAGGGGTAGGGTGAGGCCACAATGGGGGATCAAAGTTTTACATAGAAATATATAGGAAAATATCTTTAAAAATCTTCTTCTTAAGAACAGCAGAGCCATGATTGGTTATATTTATATGAAAGCATCCTCAGGTAGTGTAGATTCAAGTTTGTTCAAATCATGACCCTCAGGGGTAGGGTGGGGCCACAATGGGGGATCAAAGTTTTACATAGAAATATATAGGAAAATATATTTAAAAATCTTCTTCTTAAGAACAGCAAAGCCATGATTGGTCATATTTATGTAGAAGCATCCTCAGGTAGTGTAGATTCAAGTTTGTTCAAATCATGACCCCCAGGGGTAGGGTGAGGCCACAATGGGGGATCAAAGTTTTACATAGAAATATATAGGAAAAATCTTCTTAAGAACAGCAAAGCCATGATTGGTCATATTTATATGAAAGCATCCTCAGGTAGTGTAGATTCAAGTTTGTTCAAGACATGACCCCTGGTGGGGCCACAATGGGGGGGGGGGGGGTTCAAAGTTTTTCGTAAGAGTATATAGAAAAAAACTTTAAAAATCTTCTTCTCAAGATAAGCAAAGACATGATTGGTCATCTTTATATGGAAGCATCCTCAGGTAGTGTAGATTCAAGTTTGTTCAAATCATGACCCCCGGAGGTAGGGTGGGGCCACAATGGGTGATCAAAGTTTACAGAGGAATATATAGGAAAAAATCTTTCTCTCAAGAACAGAAAAGCCATGATTAGTCAAATTGATATGGAAGCATTGTTGGGTAGTATAAAATGAAATTTGTGCAAATGAGCACCCCCGGGGGTAGGGTGGGGCCACAATGGGGGATCAAATTTTTACAAATGAATATATGGGAAAAAATCTTCTGCTCAAGAACAGCAAAGTTATTTGTTATATTGATATGAAAGCATTGGTAGTTTAAAATCCCCCATCCCCCCCTCTCTCCCCCGTTAACTTTTCAATACTGAACTGATTTTTGCTTTTTTTCCTAGCCAGTGTGCTCAGGTGAGCGATGTGGCCCATGGGCCTCTTGTATATAAACTGCATCAGAAATAATAATTTAATTATAAAGTGCCTAAATTTACTTCATTTCAATTAAATATATCACAATTTTTGAAACGAACTATCCTCGCATGCAAGTTGAAATGATAAAACAGCTTCGCTTATTCTTTCTGCATGATTTCTTCAGGCACAATATCTATTTATTGTACGCTTGTAAAGGGACTGAAAATATTATTCACGTGAACAGGTGAAGGGCCATACAAAAGGAGATATATAGGAACTAGTAAAAAAAATATGTTGAGGTAATTTAGATTTCTCCCTCTCAAGAACCACTGAGGCAGAAACTACAATTTAAACTAAGTGGAAGATTTCCTACGTACATGTATGTAGTGTGAATTTAAATGATATATAATCATGGCCCTGGACTAGGGCAAAGGTTATGCCACATTTTAGGTTCATAGTTTTTATGTATAATAAAAGAACGTTTAAAATTAAAACTCTTTTTTTCTTAGCAGGAGCAGGGTCTTAATCTAATCATGTAAGAAAGCAAGAGATTCATAGAGGAATCAAAAGTGGTTTTCTCTCGCCCTTTTTTCACGAAAAAATGTAACAGTAGAAGACATATGCTTTTAAAATGTTTTCTTTAGATCAGTGATGCTTTAAATAATGGGGATACAAATATAAACATGCCGGGGAATGTGTAGTCTTCCTTAACAACAACGACGACGAAAACAACAACAAGGCTACAATATTTTTAGCTTATAATTACCGTAGATTAAAATTGCTCAAAAGAAGTTTGAAAGAACCGCTTTAATTTTAGAGACACAGTAATGTGGGGTCTGTATCTACATTCATGTGGAATTCAACTCAAGTTATTAAAACCTATATATATGGATTGAAACTAATATATATTTTCTCTTAATATTTAAAATACTCAAATTTGGATTTGACCTAAAATTAAGGGTGTTACCAGTTCACTTTTCTAGTAATCTAAAAAGATTTTCTAGAAGAGAAAAAGATATATAGAGATTAACAGCTAAACATAAAACTGTTCATTTCTTCTGAATCAAATCTCGGTAATTTGAAAAATAAGAGCATTTAGCAAACGCATGTTGATGATGCGACGATGCGTCTTTATTAATGATTCGGCCGTGTTATGTTTGGGCAATGACAGAGTGGAAATAGATGCATTTCCTATACCATCCACGCACTGTCATGCGGTGGAGTAATTTACAACTGTTTGCTTTTGGACTGTGATGTAATTTGCTTGCTCTCAAATTTCCAATGTTCAGTTAGCGTATCTCCAATAATCTGATATTTTTCATTGATTGTGGTGGTTTGAGTCGATGTAAATTTTACGCCATGTACTTTTCATTGCAGATTAACAGACGCACACAAAACAGCTATTAGAGTCATTAGAAAAATCAAATATTTTGTAGCCAGGCGAAAATTTCAGGTTTTGTTTTTTTCTGATTTTTAATTCCATTGCAAATTTTACTGTTATTTCTCATGTACAGTTTTATATGCGTAGAAATTTTTTACTGAAAATATATAGGAACAATATGAAAATTTCAGAATTTCAATGGAAAGATCAAGAAAAAATCTACGTATTCAACAAACAAGCAAACAAAAATAACCAGGTATTATTTTTTTTAACAGCAAGCACGTAAACCGTATGATGTACGTGACGTAATAGAGCAATACTCACAAGGTCATTTAAATATGATGGTCCGAATCAAAGAGTTACAACGAAGGTAAGCGTGCAATAAATGTAGTAAAAAACGGAAATAAAATTTTCCAAGGTTATAAAACACAAAGCTACAATGGAAAAAAATAACCCTTGATATTATATTAAAGATCAATACATTTGGTTCTTAAAGTTGTCCATCACAGAGACAAATCCTACCACATGTATTTCTATAATAGAAAGATATTCGAGTAATGATGTCTGTTGCATTCTTTATATAAAAGATAAACAGGATATACTCGAAATTTACAGATAAATTGTTTTAATTTTATTTTGTTTTTTAAAAAATCTTTACACAACTTTTCGTTCTTTTCACTTGCATCTGAAGATGATCAGCGCCCAAAGTCACATGCCTAAATTGATATAGGCCTACATAACAGAAAGACACATTGTCATGAGTGTACATATAAATATGAGAAATTGAAGGAATTTTTATATGTCTATATATGATTTTGTTTTTGTCTTATGTCCCGCCATAAAATGGCCGGGGCATATAGTGTTACCCTGTTCCGTCCTCATTCACTTTCCGTTCATTATCTCTGCAACGGTTGCACACATTCAAATCAAATTTGACATATTGATACGTCTTAGGAATATGCAGGTCAAGTTCGAATTTGGTCGTGGTCCGATGATTTTTGACAGAGTTATCCCCCTCGAACTTTGGGAAAAAAAAGAAATTTTCTATTCCCGCTCTCTAACTTATGTAGTGATGTATGTATAAGGTTTAAATTACATATGCAGGTATTTTACTAGAAAATACAGGTCAAGTTCGAATTTGGTCATAGTCCGATGATTTTTGACAGAGTTATCCCTCTTGAACGTAGGAAAAAATAAGAATTTTTTTGTTTCCGCTCTCTAGCTTTTGTAGGGATGTATTTATAATATTGAATTGCATATGCAAGTATTTTACCAGAAAATACAGGTCAAGTTCGAATACAAATTTAAAACGTAATATTGCATTTGAAATTTTGGCTGCTTGAGGGGACATTCGTGGCGATAATGACACATCTAGTTCATAAGATTACTGAGTACTTAATATTATAAGAAAAATTCCCTTGAAGTTTAAAGTGTCTTGTACAAGAATATGAGACGTTGACAAAGGATATATATATGTAGTAAGTGAAAGGAACGATAACCCTGGGTGGAAATTGAACTTCGATCATTCCTTATATGCTAGGTTAGACCAAACACTCGGCAAGCCCAGTACATTATATTCCAGTGGATACCATAAGGACCGAGAAAAACTGACCATCAGCGCAAGGGTTGTCCGGTGTGAAAATCAGGTAAAACTGGAAACGATTGAAGATTATTAACAATATTAAGTCATATAAATAAATATCTAATAGTGTTTTGGAGGTGTTCTGACTGTGTCGGTCTTAAAAGGTAATTTTTTCCCCCTTGAAAATGGAAGGTAGGTTGTTGGTAGACCAAGTGTTGTCCAATCAATATCTTGAAAACCCTTTGTTTGACTGACAACAAACTTGATGCACTGGAACTTAAAGTAATACATGCTATAAACTTGCGTTAGTTAAAAAAAAGTTGGAAATTTATTTATTTTGTTAACCAAATAAAGTTACGAAAATACACAATTGAAAATGAACGCGTTATAAAGATCTCAAATTATAATTATTTATTTTCCTGCCAGGAAAGTAATGCCTCTATTTAAGTTAATGCATTACGTGTCACAGAACCTCCAGGGCCAATATGCTCAGGACTAGAAAGACATTGTCCACTCAGTATCTTGAGAGCTCTTTGTTTGACAGACATCAGTCTTGGTACATTGGTTTCCCTTAGGGTATAGAAATTGAGGTCATAAAGTCCAAGGGTCAAGAGTCAAACTGGACATGAGAATATATTGATTGTTCAAATCTTGAGAGCTCTTTGCTTGACAGACATCAAACTTGGTACACTGATTCCTCCTAAAAGTAAGATGGCCCTCATGTTACAAGGTCAAGGGTCAAACTACTCAAGGCAGGATGATGTCTGCTAAATATCTAGAGAACCCTTTGCATGACTTACATCAAACTGAGTGCATTGGTTTTTCGTAGGGAGTCCATAACCCTTGTTGATTATGAGGTCACAAGATTAAAGGTCTAGGACATAGTAAGATATTGACCACTCAGTATCTTCAGACATCAAACTTGGTACATGGTACCCTCTAAGAAGAAAATTATCGATGGCTGGTAGAGATCAAACTTTAAATTATGATTGCCCGGGTCCGACTAGGTAACCCGTTCACTATATTACAAACAGACTCTAAATTTAAAGTTAACCCCTTTTTATATTGTTACATGTGGGCATATACACTAGACAAATATGCTAACGCACCACCTAAATAAATTAACATTTTTCTTTTCAAAACTTGTTTATGTTGTTTTTGATATATAATTATGTTACTTTAGTATAAAATGAGACATTTTAATGCTTTAACTGATAAATAACAACAATGTTTACTGAAGCGTAACCACTTCATAGAAAAAAATAAAATCACATTTATACTTTTTTGTGGAATTAATTTCTATTTTTTTCTTTGTGGTTGTGTTCTTTATGTTTGTACTAATTAAAAACTCAGAAAAAAGTTACACCGTATGCGGCGTTTGACTCTAGAAGAGCGTGCTAAGGCAGCCAGTATGGTGTCTGCAGGGGGTTCCTTTGAAGAGATTTGTAAAAAATTAAAAGAATTTAATGATTATGAATTTCTCTGGTGAAAAATTTTTGAAAATGAATTAACGATCATAAAAATGTTTATAATAGATATCGACGGCATTAAGTGAGCACCACACAATAATATCAAGATTGTTCCACAAAATTGGGGCAACCAGAAGTTGGGTGGATTTGGTAGGGACACCAAGGCACTGGGTGACTACTAAGCGATATGGTAGTCAATCATGGTGTATCATTTGATTTTTAAGTGGGAGACTGCTCCCGTCACAACGTCACGGACCACCATCGGTAATCACCAACTTCATATCTTGGCAAAAACGGTGCGCAGTGCACGTCGGGAAATTGGTTTTCAGACGAGAAGGTCCTTTAAGGGTCTTGACATGACACCAAGACATTGTCAATCCAACTGTTTTGGAAAAGATGGCATATTTTATATACTAGTCCCAATCAGGAAAATGATCAATTCACAAATAAGAATAATAAGTGGTGCATTAGCAATTTTGTCTAGTGCACATGTATGTTTCTAAAACTTTTCTTGTTTATTCAGTTTAATTCATTTAATTTTCTTTTATTTTAATATCTATTTTTTTTTAATTTTGCAGTTAAATAAAATGGACCAGAAACTAGATCAGGTATTGTTTATGATAAATTCTTTACTGAAATCCAAGAAAGTGAACGAGTCGGCGCTGGAGGATGAAGTTTGAGGCCTTCGTCAAGATGATCAAGTGAAAATGATTGACCCATGAACTGAACAATTACTTCTAGATTTGTAAAGTTCAAAAATTTCTATGAACTGCAGTTTTGCTACCGAGGTTGTGATTCTCTTTTTTCATGTTCATACCTGGCACATATGATTTTTTGTTAATGTCGTTATTTTGCACAAGAACTTTCTTATCAATCAAAGTGGTTATAAAACAAAGTAGAATCTCAGGAAATGTATGAGTTCTAGCATATTGAATGCCTTGTGTGTTACTGTTAAACTACTGGTAAACTCGTCCTATTTAATACTTTCTCTGATTCGTGTAAATTTGTGTTATTTTGTGCATTTTTTCCAGCAAGAAATGAAAATAAAAAATCATACATTTTACACCACGTAGATTTCCCCCTTTGTGAATGGTAAAAATAACACCTCTTTAACTTTACCTCTTTTTTCATCAGATAATTATAGAGATGGTATCTTCTGTTTTAAAGCTGGTGAGTTTACCTCCAAAGGATTCTTTTTGTAATCTTAAATTACTCGTAAAATGAAGCAACTTCATGAAGATAACAATTTTTCTCAGTTTCTTGTAACAAATCGGGTTTTCCCTATTTTTTCCCCATATATAGGACAATCTCGGATAGTGAATGGATTTTTCTGTGATTGAGAACTATTGTTCTTGTTTGTGAGTTGTAAGGAAGAGAGTGAGAGAGTGTGACAGCACAAATAGACCGAGGGAAAAAGGTGAGGCAGCAACTATTCAAGGACAACAAAGCAGGATTATCCTCACCCTACCAGTCTCTCTCCCTCCATAAACGCCAGGGAGCAAGAGGTCAAAAGCACCGTAGACTACCACCACACTCTCTCTCCCTCCCTAAAGACAAGGGAGCAAGAGGTCAAAATCAGAGCACCGCAAATTACTGTTTTTTTCCCGCTAAAACATGTGATACTTTTTACATTATTTCCCCGTGTACTTTAGAAATTATATGGAAAACCAAACACTCTCCAGTATTGTTCTTTTGGATCTTTGTGATACTTTTATAATCAAGTCTAGCGAACGGCTGGGAAGGTGTGAATATTTGATAAAGGGCACTCAAATTTGCGCAAAAATTCTTTTTTTTCCTGTGAATGTGAGAGACAGATTTGTTGAGAGAATAACGTTCTGTGCGTGATCAGCTGTAATTTTCAAGAAGTTTTATATTTTATTGGTTACGTTGTATGCTGTTAAAAACCGTAATAAAAAATACACATCCCACAACTGTTTTAGTTTTTTGCGTCATTAAAGGCCTAATCAGGGAATAGCGCTATATACCCGCTTGGCTACAATTTACTAGTTCGAAGTTTCTTGAACCTCTTTCAAAGTAACTATTTATAACTTCGTAATGATCATTTAGGGTTTAATTTCGGGACCAAATTTGATTGTGCAAATACATGTCCAAACCTCGCATTTAATTTTTGCGCTGTTGTGCTCGCGTGATTTATGACATAGGGCAGACCCCTCCCTCGAAAAATGAAGATGGTTAGATGGTTTAATGTTCATCAAGCTGAGTGTTATATCCATTGCTGATTTGTTTCCTTTTAAATTAAAATTAAAAAAAAATAAAGACCAATACAATAATAAAATATTTTATCATACGAACATTTACTTATTTGCTTTTATAGTTACAATGAAAGCTATAGAATAACATCTGGAGACATCATAGAATATTGCATACAATATTCAATTCACACAATTTTTAGCTCACCTGAGCCGAAGGCTCAAGTGAGCTTTTCTGATCACATTTTGTCCGGCGTCCGTCTGTCTGTCTGTCTGTAAACTTTTCACATTTTTGACTTCTTCTCAAGAACCACTGGGCCAAATTCAACCAAACTTGCCACAAAGTATCCTTGGGTGAAGGGGATTTAAGTTTCTTCAAATGAAGGGCCACGCCTTCTTTCAAAGGGAGATAATTAGGAATTCCTGAAAAATTAATGGTATCATTTAAAAATCTTCTTCTCAAGAACCACTGGGCCAGGAAAGATGAAACTTATGTGGAAACATCCTCAGGTAGTGTGGATTCAAGTTTGTTCAAATCATGACCCCCAAGGATAGGGTGGGGCCACAATGGGGGATCAAAGTTTTTCATAGAAATATATAGGAAAATATCTTTAAAAATCTTCTTCTTAAGGTCAGCAAAGCCATGATTGGTCATATTTATATGGAAGCATCCTCAGGTAGTGTAGATTCAATTTTGTTCAAATCATGACCCCCGGGGGTAGGGTGTGGCCACAATGGGGTATCAAAGTTTTACATAGAAATATATAGGAAAATATCTTTAAAAAATTCTTATTAAGAACAGCAAGGCCATGATTGGTCATATTTATATGGAAGCATCCTCAGGTAGTGTAGATTCAATTTTGTTCAAATCATGACACCCGGGGATAGGGTGGGGCCACTATGGGGGATCAAAGTTTTACATAGAAATATATAGGAAAATATCTTTAATTTTTTTTTTAAGAACAGCAAGGCCATGATTGGTCATATTTATATGGAAACATCCTCAGGTAGTGTGGATTCAAGTTTGTTCAAATCATGACCCCCAGGGATAGGGTGGGGCCACAATTGGGGATCAAAGTTTTCATTAGAAATATATAGGAAAATATCTTTAAGAATCTTCTTCTTAAGAATAGCAAAGCCATGATTGGTCATATTTATATGGAAGCATCCTCAGGTAGTGTAGATTCAAGTTAGTTCAAGTCATGACCCCTGGAGGTAGGGTGGAGCCACAATGGGTGATCAAAGTTTACAGAGGAATTTTGAGGAAAAAATCTTTTTCTCAAGAACAGAAAAGCCATGATTAGTCAAATTGATATGGAGGCATCCTTGGGTAGAGTAGAATGAAATTTGTTCAAATGAGGGCCCCCGGGGTTAGAGTGGGGCCACAATGGGGGATCAAATTTTTACAAATGAATATATGGGAAAAAATCTTCTGCTCAAGAACAGCAAAGTCATTTGTTATATTGATATGAAAGTATCATCAGGTAGTTTAAAATTCACCCCCCCCCCCGTAAACTTTTCAATACTGAACTGATTTTTGCTTTTTTTCATAGCCAATGTGCTCAGGTGAGCGATATGACCCATGGGCCTCTTGTTAAAATTTTACTCTCTGTCTCTCTCTCTCTGGATTCATTCTATACCAATTAATAATCGGGTAAAGGTCGACAGCCTTGTACACGGCCACAAATCGCTCTAACTCATATCCAAATGATATGAAAAAGATTTCGTTATTGGGACTTTTCGATATGCGTTGGAGGGCCTTTTTGCATTTGCTTCGGAGAGATATTGCCTAACTGTGGACTGTTGGGGCTGAAATTAGTGTTGAAAAGACGCTAGAACTTTTATTCTGTGAGTTTCGTCACACAAAACTAACCTGTCGCGTCTAAGATCCACTGAAACAAAGTTGCCAAGCGGTTTTGATGTATTTTATTTATGTCATTATAACCCTAAAAGATTATAATACATATGTTCCAATATACGTATTTCTTTCTTCATTAGATCAATAGCTAGGAATGGAAAAAACCCCATGATATGAGTTATCGTAACCAGATATGATTTAACGGTACCTGATATGAGTTAGATTTAATTCATAAACAGCATACATGGTATAATAATTTAATAATAATTTGTCAACCTTTTTACTTTGCAAAACTTTGCTACGGGGCTGATTTTGAGAACCCTTCGGCTGGCATCAAATCTTAGTAAACTGGTGCGGAATCCTCTTTATAGAGATAGATGCCTTCTTTTTTTATTGAGGTCATAAGGTCAGGGTAAATTACTAACTTATAAAATTAATTTAAGAGCATGCATTGAAATAAAAAAATATAAAAAGAAGTATAAGGTATAAACCCTCACCATCCACATCGAGCTCCGTGAAATATTTGAAAAACAGGGATGATAATTCTACAAAATGTTCTTTGTTCCTTGGACTTATTCCTTTGTAAAATCAAAACTGGAGAAGCGTTAATTGTATTGTATTGTAAAGGGGGAAAACTATGCATGAATATGGAGCGCCGTTAAATTACTATTTGTGGGGTATTTTCTCAAAAAGGAAAAAAAATCTTGATGCAATAAATTCCATTTCTTCATATAAAGAAATAATTTTTTATATCAAAATAAAAATTCATTTCCTTGTGTTAAAAAACCGATTTTAATATCTATTATTCACAACTCAACCTGATCATAAGAAACTATGAAACTGAAAGTACTTTTTGTATTATATATTATAAAAATTCTTGTATAATTCTCTTTTTCAATTGACCTTTCAATTACATTATTTACAGTAATTAATTATCATAGGTGAACAACAAAGAGGAATAACTTCTCTCAGTAGACTAAAAACTAATAGAGACCTGTCCAGCACCAGAATACTTGACCAAATTATCCAGAATTTCAAAAATCTGGTAAAAATACCCTTCTTTATTACAACTTTGTACCCTGCCTCCTAGATGCCCAGAAGCAAAGAAAATTGTCAAACAGTGCATTTTCATTATAGATTCAACACAGCCCCACCCTAACACCAGAACGCCTTACCCAGGGGCCATGGAATTCACAATTTTGGAAGAGATACACTTCCTCAATATGAGTATGCATTAATAGTTTGCTTAATACCCAGGAGCAGAGAAAAAGAGTTTCAATGAATTAATGTATTTTCTCTATATAATCAATAGAGCCCCGTCCTAGCTCCAGAGGCCTTTGACCCAGTGGCCAAAAAATTCACAATTTTGGAAGAGCAGATTTCACGGAATTTTCTATTTTTAGTAACCATGGCAACACCGTTTACCGAAATCAAAAACCGATATACAGAATTATGTACCTTAGTGTAGTTACTTGTGTGCCAAGTTGTTTTGAAATCAGACCAAAACTGTAGGAGGAGTAGCGTTTTGAAAGTATTTCACAGAAATTTCTATTTTTAGTAACTATGGCAACATCTTCATCGAAATCATAAACTGATAAAGAGAATTGTGTATCGAACTGTAGTTTACTTTTTGATTGATTGTATGTTGTTTTACGTCCCGTTAGAGAATTTTTCACTCACGTAGCGACGTCACCTTATACCGGTGAAGGGCTTCAAAATTTGACCTTTACTCGGCACTCATGGCCATTGAGCAGTGAGGGATCTTTATCGTGCAAACACCTGCCTTGACACGGAACATTGGTTTTTAAGGTCTCATCCGAGGGACCCGCAACTTTCACTTCAAAGTGCCGAGCGCATGGCGAAGGAACAGTTGCTACCCATTTTTTATCGACTTAGGTCAGTCGCGACAGAGATTCGAACTCACGACTTCCCGATCACGAAGCAGCGCTCTACCGACTGAGCTACCGTGAACGGTCCTAGTTATTTTGAAATCAGACACAAACTGTAGGAGGAGTGGCGTTTTGAAAGTATTTCACAGAAATTACGATTTTTAGTAACCATGGCAACACCGTTCATTGAAATCATAAACTGATAAATAGAATTATGTAACGAACTGTAGTCTACTTGTGTGCCTAGTTATTTTGAAAACAGACAGAAACTGTAGGAGGAGTAGCGTTTTGAAAGTATTTCACAGAAATTTCTGTTTTAAGTAACCATGGCAACACCGTTCATCGAAATAAAAAAACGGAAAGAGAATTATATATCGAACTGTAGTCTACATGTGTACCTAGTTATTTTGAAATCAGACACAAACTGTAGGAGGAGTAGCGTTTTGAATGAATTTCACAGAAATGTCTATTTCCATTTTATAGTAACCATGGCATCACTTTTCATCGACATCAAAAACCGATAAACAGAATTATGTATCTTCGTTTCGTAAAGTCTACTTGTGTGCCAAGTTATATTGAATCAGACCAAAACCGTAGGAGGAGTAGCGTTTGGAAAGTATTTCACAGAAATTTCTATTTTTAGTAACCATGGCAACACCGTTCATTGAAATCATAAACTGATAAGAGAATTATGTATCGAACTGTAGTCTACTTGTGTGCCTAGTAATTTTGAAATCAGACACAAACTGTAGGAGTCGCCCGCGTGGCGCAGTGGTTAGAGCGTTCGCTCTAGAGTCGCGGAGTAAGGAGTTGATCCTTACGTCGCGGGTTCGAATCCTACTGTGGAACATGGAGACCAGTCCTTCGAATGAGACCGTATAAACCGAGGTCCCGTGTCGCAGAAGGTGTTGGTACGAAAAAGATCCCTCAGTGCTCAATGGCCCTAAGTGCCGAGTATAGCTCAAAATTTGTAGCTCTCCACCGGAAAGTGGTGGCGTCTCCATATGAGTGAAAAATTCTCGAGAGGGACGTTAAACAATAAACAAACAAACAAACTGTAGGAGGAGTAGCGTTTTGAATGTATTTCACAGAAATGTCTATTTTTGGTAACCATGGCATCACCGTCCATCGAGATCAAAAACCGATATCAGAATTATGTATCTTTGTGTAGTCTACTTATGTGCCAAGTTATATTGAAATCGGACCAAACTGTAGGAGGAGTAGCATTTTGAAAAATTGCTAACAGACAGATGGACAGCTAGACAGACAGAGGACGGACACATTGCTATCGCATAACCTCTTCTTGTCTCTGACCAGTAGACTTAAAATGTGTGTCTGTTGGGGGGGGGGGGGAACTTCCCAAAATAATCTGACAAGGCGAAAAAAAACAACTAATTAACTGTCCAAATCCTGGAATTTGCCAGTGCTCGATCTTAGATTGATTAATTGTATGTTTGTAACAAGACCTTCCTTTGGATACCAACCACTTTGACCTTTTGACCTTGACCTAGGAGTTTGACCTACTTTTGAAAAACTTTAACCTTGGCCATAACTTTTGAATGGTTGATGCTAGGGCTTTCATACTTCACATATGTAATCCTTGTGACAAGACATTCCTTTGGATACCAACCACTTTGACCCTTTGACCTTGACCTAGGAGTTTGACCTACTTTTGAAAAACTTTAACCTTGGCCATAACTTTTGAATGGTTGGTGCTAGGGCTTTCATACTTCACATATGTAATCCTTGTGACAAGATCTTCCTTTGGATACCAACCACTTTGACCTTGACCTAGACGTTTGACTTTTATTTAAAAAACTTTAACCTTCGCCATAACTTTTGAACAGTTGTATCTAGGTCTTTCAAATTTCACAGGTATATTCCTCGAGACAAGATCTTTCTTTGGATATCAACATTTTTTATCTTTTGGCCTGGATTTTGACTTGGATTTGAGAAACTTTAACCTTCGCCATAAGCTGCCATACGGGGGCATCAGTGTTTCACAAACACATCTTGTTTTATTTATAATTAATGTAAACTAGATACCAGTATACATTTCTATCAGAGAAATTCACTTGCCCGATCGGACAAGTAAGTTGACAGTTTCACTTGTCCGAACTGAGAATTTAGCTGTCCCGGGCAATCGGACAACCGTTAATGTCGATACCTGACATATAGAGACGGTACCGTATGCCGGTGAAGGGTTTCAAATGTAGACCTATACCCGGCACTCAGGACCATTGAGCAGTGAGGGTTCTTTATCGTGCCACCGCCTACCCTGACACGGGACCTCGGTTTTTAAGGTCTCATCCGAAAGACCCGTGACTTCCACTTCTAGTGCCGGGCGCTTGGCGAAGGAACAGTCACTATCTATGTTTACGTCTTAGGTTTGACGCGGCGCGACGAATGGGAATCGAGCCCGGGCCTTCCGATTACAAAGCGAACGTCCTACCACTACCTTAGGCTACTGTGACCAGTCTCGACCTTAGAGCAACAAAAAGTAGGGGGGGGGGGGCATCCAGCATCTAAGGGAAACTTTACTACAGCAAAATACTATACTCAGAAAAAGTGGGGGAAGGCCCCCCAGCCCCCCCTTCTCCCCGTTCTACGGGTCTGATCAATAGAGCCCCTTCCTAACACCTGGACCCCTGACCCATGGGGCATGAAAATCATAATTTTGGAAGAGGCACCCTTACTCATCATAAACATGCATTTACTTTGTTTGCTTATATTAATTCCCAGGAGCAGAGAAGAAAATTTTCAAAGAATTAATGCATTTTCACTTTATAATCAATAAAGCCCTGCCCTAATATAAAACCCTTGAGGCCACAAATTTCACAAATTTGGAAGAGGCCCCTTGTTCATGATAACCACGCACCTAGTTTATCTGCTTACTATACAGGAGGGGAGAAGAAAATTTTAGAATTTAATGCATTTTCACTATATTATAATTAGAATTATAATTAGAGAACCACCCTAACCCCAAAAAAACCCTGACCCTGGGCCATGAATTTCACAATTTGATAGAGGGCTTAATGCTATTCGGTTTGACCTCTTGATGTCCAGGAATAAAGATTAATACCCAGGAGCAGAGAAGAAGATTTTCGTAGAATTAATGCATTTTCACTATATTATCAATAGAGCCCAACCTTAACACCACATCCCCTCACCCAAGGGCCTCGAATTTTACAATTTGGGACGAAACATCCTTGCTTATAACAACCAAACACTTAGCTTGTTTACTAAATAACCAGGGGCAAAGAAGAAGGTTTTTAAAGAATTAATGCATTTTACTAGATGATCAACAGAGCCCCGTCCTAACACCAGACCCAGGGGCCATGAATTTCAGTTTTTGAAGATTGGTTGATTGTATATTGTTTACGTCCCATTCGAGAATTTTTCACTCACATAGAGAATCAAGTCACCATATACCGAAGAGGGCTGCAAATTTACATATATACTCGGCACTCAGAGCCATTGAGTAGTGAGGATTCTTTATCGTGCCAACGCCTACCGTGACACGGGACCTCGGTTTTTAAGGTCTCATCTGAATGAACCGTGACTTTCATTTCTAGTGCAGGAAAGGTCACCACCTATGTTTGCATGCACGTCTTAGGTTTGACGCAGCGCGGCGAAGGAGAGTTTTACCCCGGCCTCCCTATCACGAAGGAAACGCCCTACTACTACGGTGCTGTGACCGAACAGTTTTGGAGAAGCATTCTCGCTCATCATAATCATGTACTTAGTTTGTTTGCTAAAGAAGAAGATTTTCAAAGAAATGATGCATTTTCACTGTATAATTTTAAATATATAGAGCCCGCCCTAACACCAGAACCCCTGGCCCAGGGGCCAAAAAATTCCGAATTTGAATTTTTGGAAGAGGTAACCTTGCTCATTATAACTATGCTCTTAGTTTGTCTGCTAAATATACAGGGGGAGAGAAGAAACTTTTAAAAGAATGTATGCATTTTCACTGATCAAAAAGCCCTACCCCATCTCCAGTTCTCCTGACCCAGGGGCCATAAATTTCATAGTTTTGGGCGAGTGTTAAATGCTTATTACAATCATACATGCACTTTATCTGCTTAATGTCCACGAGTAAAAATGAATTTTGAAGATTGCATTGATTTTGATGGTTTTAAGTCACTAAAGGCGGATCCAGCGCCGGCGCGCCGGGTGTGCCCCCCCCCCCCTCCCGTTTGATTTTTTTTTGGACATTTTGTTTCTATTATCCTAAAATCAAGGGGAAAACACCTCTTATTCGTTAGAACTCAACGGTTTTCGGGGGCTTCGCCCCCGGACCCCTACCAGGGCTTTACCCTGGACCAGCTGGGGGCTTCAATGCACCCCGCAGACCCCTGCCTTCTACTGCGCCCCCCCCCCCCGTTATGAAATTCCTGGATCCGCCGCTGGTCCCACCTCTCAGGCCCAAGGGGGGACAGGGACCATGAAATTCACATTTTTTTTTGTTCCCCTTCTGTTCAGCAATAGATGCTATATGCCAAAATTGGTTCAGCGGTTCTACAGAAGCTAAAAAATTTCAGATATTAACGCACGATAGACAGCAATAGGCCACCTGAGTGACTCAGGTAACTTGATAGACTGTGCATTACATATATGTACTTTTGTTGAAACAATTTTGGTACGATTTTACTTGCAAGGTCTGTAGATAGTTTTAAAATGATTCAAATTATGAACCGTTATATTGTCAGTTGAATGTTTGATATCATAAGAATAGTTCTTTTGACATAAAAAAAGCAGAATTTCTTGGTATCAAAAAAATGATTTTTAGATATCACAAAGCCAAAATCCTTTTATTTTGCGATATCAATTGACCAAAATAAAAAAAAAAGATTTGTTTGATTGTTTTAAATATCTAAAATTCGATTTTTTTTAGTCATAAAATCATCTCCTCTAATATCAGAAAATACTTTTTATATACTACACTTAAAAGGGCGCCTGATAAAATCACACTAAATGAACTTTGTATATGTAGTTTCACTAGTTTGCAATTATTCCTTTTAAAGAGACGCAGATCACTTTATCCGGAAATTTGTTTACTACGCCGTTTCAACTTTATAAGTTTTATAGCGCAAAGCTCTTCCTGTGACATTTGCTGGCTTCCTGGAAAAAAGGGAGGATCCGAGGAGTCGATAATCGTAACTTTTTTGTATGAAAAGGGAAGTATTGTGAGTATTGAACGTCATCTTACAGGATAGAGAGTTTATTTAATCAAGTCAAAATTAAAATATTTCTACCTTTGGAAAGGCAAGATGATTATGTTAGCTATATGTAAACAGCAGATCAAAACAGTTCAAAAGTCAAAACAGGAAATAAATATCTGCAAATTTGTCTGTCTTCTGATCTATGAAAGTAAGGATAACACATTCATGAAAGAATATGAATATCATTTCACAGAAATAATTTAAATAAATATTTTTATTTTTATTTTTTGAATTTATTCTGTTACCATGGGAAACCTTCAATGTATATATCCATTTTATAGAATTATGAAATTGTTTAATTTAATTCAGCTTCTCAATTTGCTTGACACATCTTTAAATATCATAATCAACAAGGTCAGGCAGTTGCAGTGTAGGATTTCTAAAAATTAATGTATCAACATAATGGTAACTTTATTAAATGTGTTAATTAGGATTAAATTATTGATGCCACCATTACATCCAATATGTTTTTAAAAGTGATTGGTGAAATCATCAACAGTGAACTACATGAAGCATATGACAGCAGTCCAGTTGGATGATGGAGAGTGACGAAATTGGTATGATAAACATTTTTTTTCCTCTGTATATACTAAAATGATTTCTCAAATGTGGAGAAAGTATTTCATGAAAGGATTAAGATATGAATGCTTAGCAATTATCATGATATATGGAACATTTTACTTTGAGCAGAGAGGATCTTTTTGTTAAGGTTGTCAAGAAAACTAATCTCTTTGAAACTGATAATTTTATTTTTGTTTATTTATTTATTGTTTGTCCCTCTTGAAATTTTTTTCACTCGCATGGAGACACCTCCACTTGCCGAAGGAGGGCTGCAATTTTTAACCTATACTCTGCACTTAGGGCCATTGAGCAGTGAAGGATCTTTTTCGTGCCAGCACCTACTGCAACATGGGACCTCGGTTTATATGGTCTCATCTGAAGGACTGGTCTCCATGTCCTGCAGTGGGATTTGAACCCTCAATTTAAGGATTAACTCCTTACACAGCAACTGTAGAGCAAACACTCTAACTACTGCACCATGTGGGTCACTACTGATAATTTTGATTGTTGTGGTATATTCTATAAAAATATATGTTGTGGCATTTATAGCAATTTTAGAAAAAAGATACCATGTGTGCATACTGGCAATTGTACATGGTACATTGTGTCTGTAAAAACAGATTTTCATTTTGGTTTTGTTGGATGAATTCACCGTGGATTGGATACCCTCTTACTAAAAAAAAACATATCCATAAGACAATGGTTATTCTTGTGAAAATGATTTGAAAACTAGCATAATTCAAAGGTATTGTTTTTTAGAAGGATAAATGCAGATATTCTCGAATAATTGAAAAACAAGAGGTCAGCATGTAACCATGGATCAGACAGAATACACCTTACATTCTGAACATGCTTGAATAAATCCTTTTTTTTAGTGATTAAAGTTGGAAATTTGTTGATTCATGTCCATACATGGAAGAAATATTTTTGGATCTGTTGATGCAAAAGTACAACTGTTTTCCCTACTGGCCTAAATAATTACTGATAGTGCCACTTTTTACTGATAATTTCTGATATTTACTGATATTATACTGTTGGTACTGAGAATTCCTGATATTTGCTGATATTTTTACTGTTGTTACTGATAACTGCTGTTGGTTCTGATAATTACTGAAATTTACTGTCATTTTTACTGTGGGTTCTGATAATTACTGATATTTGCTGAGGGTTACTTTTGGTACTGAGAATTGCTGATAATTACTGAGATTATTTCTCTGAACCCAGAAGATGTTAAAACAAGCCTAACACTCTCTAGAAAGGGAGAGGAATTGGTTGAAAGGAAGACTGAGGAAAGAAAATCTGTTTAAAATCGTTAAGAATCGTTCTTATTTTATAAAATGATTTCAGGAAAAAAAGAAAAATAAATGGAAGATAAAGCTTTTTTCAAAGACTTTTTAAACTCTAGCTGTTTCAATAATAGTAATTATTTAAAAATAGCCCTTTAAAGCTTGTCCTCATTATTTTTCAATACAGTAGTTGTTACACTTTTAAAAAAGTTCTGTTGAAAGCAGTTTCAGAATTTCTTGACAAGCCAAAAGAAATTTAAATAAATAAAATTAATGCATTACTAAGTAATAAAAAATAAAACCATTAAAAACAAAAAGAAAGAGAAAACACAAAAAAGAACTGGACGTTTTTAGAAGACATACGCATTACTGTAAATGATCGTTGATGGAAGAATTGCAGTAAAATTATTTGGACGTCGTTTCCTCTTTCTCGCTTCCCACGGGCGTGTTAAACAATTTTTTAACTCAAATTCAAACAAAGAAAGAGGATGTTATTTATATCTGAAAGAAATATGCTTTCAGATGTAAATTGAGAGAAAAAGGCAATATTCCGATCTATTTTTTTCTTTTTGAAGATATTCAAGACTACTTACAAGTCTCGGAAAAGTAATAAATCAAATGATAGGTATTTATTTTCATTAATCACAACGGTGCCTGATGTAAATTGTTTTTAAAATAGAATTATAAATTTCCTTCCAATTAGTCCATTACATGCAACAGGTGTGTGCTGGTCCCGGCATTATTCTTAAGCTACATGTACGTCTATATTGAGTCTATACCTTGATATTTAGTAAATGTCTTAATAATAAAACATTTCTTAGATGTAATGTTAAATTATATTAATAAGTATTTTAAAACCAGAAAAAAAATGTACTCCCGCCACCCCGTGATAATAAATATTCATTTTAAGAATCTGCTTATTATATTCCCCATTTCTGCCTTAAAATATGAAATGCACAATAACATGTACCCAACCTCGAGGAAAATAAAAGGATTAGAACCACATAAATATGAAGCTTGACACTGCATTTTTTTTTAATACATCCCGGATCCTAGGCCTAGTTTAGATAAAAATAAATTATTTCACCTATACCCCGAAATAGACTTTTTCAAGGATAAACATTTTTTTTCATTCATTTATCTATATGTTTATATGTATTAAAATTAATTCAGTTCTTTTGAAAAGAGGCATTCTTAATTAAAAAATAGAAGTATTTTTTCCCTCTAGAATTTTAGTTTAAACGTTCCATTTCACAAGCATCGTGTTGATAACATCATATTTGGATACATTTAAATTCTTTATTTTTCATGTAATTGTTTTCTTTCTGTTCTTTTTACGCAAATGAAGGAATTTTTGAATCCACCTGTCACTTCGTCGTTGCGTAACTGGCTGTTTGTGATATCCGGCGAGTCCCGGCCGCCGAGTGCCCCTCTCTCTCACTCGCCGTGTCTTATATATATATATATATATATATATATATATATATATATATATATATATATATATATATATATATATACAGCAGGGACGTACAGTGTACATCACAGCGCTTCCGTTTGTGTACAATACCCTTGAAGTCCTAGATCCCCGTCACTGTGTTTAACAGTAATCAAACAAAATATACTTTTAACATTTGGGATTAATAAAATATTTTTGTGGTAAATCGAACAAGATTTTGAACTTTTTCATGTAATTTTTAATATTCTGATGAATTTAATGAGCTAAGTGCAACAGGAAAATAAGTCACAGTATAACTGTTAATGAGGGATAGTTTGTCAATTAAGTTAGAAATAGTCCATACTGATATCAAACATGCTGATTCTTTGTTAAATGACCTTGTCTTGTTTCTATTAACTCCAACAACACGCTAAACTTTGTATAAAAATATTTCAGATCTGTTGTTTTCCTGAAGTTAACAAATCAACTATACTTCCGTGTGCATTTTACTTGTACAGTATGTCCTCATTTACACATGTAAATGTCCACCCTTCTGCAAAAATCATAGAAATATTTTTTCACTGAAGAGACTCAGCCCTAAATAAGACACTTATTGATTATAGATCGCGCGTGCTCCCCCCCCCCCTTTCAAAACTTATTTGCTACAAACTTCTGGTTAAGTTTCTTCGTGTAATTAGCCCGTTTTAAGATAACCAGCAATTAAAACATATAAACATTAGCATTTAAATTAATTTTATTTATTTTAAGGATAATATATGTCTCTGAATATGTTCAGTCAAAATTGTACATGAATTATGATTTCTTCTCTTCGGATATGAAATAATTACGCTGAGTTTCTATGTGTATCGAACATTTATTTTTTTCCCATTGGTTGTTTTTACTAACTGTCCATGGAAAATCTCTATTTTTTAAAAATATTTTTGACGACACAAATGGAAACATGATCAATGTATTCGAGAAACAATATTATACTGTATGTGTCTTGTAAACAAGTAAAGGTTTTGAACTAAGTGTACATGTTGCCGATGAAAATCTGTAATGCTGTAGAAAACGTTAAAACCATTACAATGTGTGTACGGACTGGTGTTGAATCGATCTTGACTTACTTTGATCCAATCTCTTATAATACTTGGGTGCGGCGGATCAAGAATTTTTTAAAACAAATAACTATAGTACATTGTATCGCATTGAAAATGAACTTTTTTTTTTCATGTGTTCTTTAGATAACTTTTCACTCATATTGTGACGCCATTATTTGCCTGTTAAAAGCTGTTAATTTCGACCTGTGCGCTGCAGTTACATGTACATTTATATGTTCATAAATCGGTGGCGGGATCTTCCGTGTTCAACTTTTCACATGTACTGGGCGGCATTTTTTACCAAACACAAAGAGAAATCTTTCTCATGCAAATTCCGGTCTGTACTCTGCATTATTAGGGACAATGAGCAGAGAGAGATCTTTCTCGTGACTCTGTACTAATTGATCACTGAGGAATCCTTTTTGTGGTAGCACCTACTGTGACAGAAAACCGCGGTTTATACATTCCCATCCGAACCTTAGATGATCTCCATGTCCAACATCACCGCACTATATGTATATATTAAATATGAATCCAGTTTTTTTTCAATCGGTTTTATTGAACGTGATTTGTTACGTCCTTTTTAGGCCTACTTCATCGATTGAAATAATACAAGTAATTCCTTAAAGGACTTATCGCATGTTTCTAAATTATTTGAGATTAAAAGTGTAAAACGTTCCTTATGACCTCAGTTTATAAATTTTGTGTTTTTACTGCTGATAAATCGCAGTAATTAACCAATTATTGACCCAAATGAAAACACCTGAATTAAAAATCTAAGTTAATTAGATAGCGATCACGTGACCCTGTGACGTCAAAGGCGACAATGGCTGATCAGCTCTTCACGTAAATCTTACTAAAATATACGCGATACAACCTGAATTTTCTGCGTTATGGACGACCAAATCACTGATTTTATAGATATGATTTTTATTATCCAACCTTATATTTTAGAAATGTCAGCAAGAAATAATCTGAAAAATCCGTTAACAATTTGTAAAAATAGCAGCGACGATAGCGAGGGAGACGCGGCGAAGACGAAGAAACTCGCCATAACAATACAATTTGATAATTTGTCATTTTATCACATGTATGAACTTATTTGATTCACAAATTCAAATTACATAACTTTGTTATTCTTCGTTTTTAACATAATATTAATTCAAGCAAGTATGCCTTCATATGTTTTGTAAAGGATGGCGGTCTTGAAAAATAATTTTCCGATCACGAAACATTGCCGTAATCAGACCTGTTTCGAATAAAAAAACGAAAATATCTCAAAATTCTTACACCTTAGAACTAGTTAATGTTTCTATAGTAATTGAAAATCACATTAGGAATTAATTTTATCAGCATTTTTTCATAATAAGCTGCATTTGTCGTTGATAACTCCGTAAATAGTGTCTAACTTCTCATCTCTCTATCACTGAATTGTCGCCTATGACGTCAGAGCAGTAATTCGCCGAAATCCGACTGAAATATGCATATTGCCGTATTTGAATTTCAACTCTCAATATCTATTAAAATACGCTTTCAACAACGTTTATTGTATTCAGAATTTTAATAAACAAGGTTGTAGATAATATTTTTCATAAAATTAAGATTTCTGAGAAATCATGCGATAAGTCCTTTAAGAACTAAGAAACAGGATGAAATGTGTGTGTGTGTGTGGTGGGGGGGGGGGGGGGCAGGTACAATCTTCTTACGGAAAGAGAAATTAAATTCAAATATATGATTATTAAAAAAAAATTTCATGAGAAAAAATGCATACTTCCCCTGCTGTCACTCAAGTAACAAATTCTAAATTCTTACAGCTTAAAATAAGTTATAAAAAATAAATTATTAAATTAAATTAATTTATTTGATTTATTTAATCCATCCACCCCAGTCTCTTTTTGCATCTCATGAACTTAGAAAATAATCTCAGTAATTATCAGCAATTCTCAGTACCAACAGTAACTCTCAGCAAATATCAGTAATTATCAGAACCCACAGTAAAAACGACAGTAAATATCAGTAATTATCAGAACCAACAGCAATTATCAGTAAAAACAGTAAAAATATCAGCAAATATCAGAAATTCTCAGTACCAACAGTATAATATCAGTAAATATCAGAAATTATCAGTAAAAAGTGGCACTATCAGTAATTATTTAGGCCATATATATATATATTTGGCTGAGGTTTATATTGAAAAATAACTTTTCAAAAATTCATTGTTTTTTTATGAAAATTGTAAGGTTTGAACTTTGAGGGAAATGGGCATAAGTTTTACGAGAAAGGAAAAAATGAAATTTTTGTGAAAAGTAATTTTACATTAAAGTATTGATGGATGTCTACAGATGTGCTTTTAAGATGCTTTAATGTTAATACAGACTATTATTTAATCTTTAATGTACATCATAAGAGGTGTCACAGGAGGAGACTATATTCTCCTCCCAGTTGCCCAACAGTCCTGCAATATTGTACCATTCACCACACTTCCTGAATTAAAGAGGGAGTTTCGATAAGGCCGCTCAGCGGCCCACTTTTTTTCATGAAAATAAATTTCAATTTATTTTTTCAAAACTAGTTTAGAATTCAAGATAAATATGTTAACTTTTGTTATTTATATTTCAAAAGTTAATATGAGATGAATTCTCACCGTAGCTGATAATACTTAGATGTACCCTCAGATCGGTTAACATTAGGCTTATGGGAAAATATAAGAGGGTGGCATTTATAAATCGATATTTAGAATATGAAGTGCATGAGGGACACTCACCTAAATTTGCTCAATAGTTAGATATACTCTGCATACTAATTTCTTGAAATATGATGAGTGTCGCGTGTGCACTTCATATCCAAAAATTGAAAATTGCATAAAATTTGCATATCTAAAATTAGAAGCTCCTGGTTTCTTGATCTGACTCTGTGTTAGAATACTAAGCCAAAAGTAGCATATTTTTTTTTATATCAAAGAGGATTCTCGATTATATTAACAAGAGAAAACATTATCGTATCCTATCTTCATTTCGATACTTTTTTTGTCGCCAACTATAACGTTAACGTCACATTTTTAGCTCACCTCCTCGAAGTTGGGGGAGCTTTTGTAATACCGTCAGCATCGGTGTTCCAGGTAAACGTTTTTGAAGCTGATTTTTTTTTTCAAGTGTATCTAGTCCATATATTAATCAGAGTCACCTGATCCAGCGTGTTTCCTTGTCACCAGTCAGGTTTCAGATGCTGGATTTTTAGTCAAAGAATAGAATGTCCAGGTAAATATTTTTAAAAGCAGGTTTAAGTTTTTGGAGCAGAACAGCTGTAAGCACTTGTTGACCAGACTTGCTTCGTGATGCATCTACGGATGCACACTACTAGACTTGCTTCAGATGCTGGATATAACCTACATTTCCATAATGAGTGAGCAGGTTAAAGATTTTGAAGCGGGTCTCATTCTTATGTAACTATAAGCCCTATCGTGACCAAACTTGCACTGATGATGCATCTAGGATTGCACACTACTGGACATGGTTCAAATGCTGGATCTTTCTTACATTTTCCGAAGGACTGAACAAAAAATAAGTTTTAGAGCAAGTCCATTCCTTAACGTTATTTATCATGCATAGTTATATTTTTGACTTTCTTGTAAATAGAAATCCACACTCCAACGTACTACAGAAGCGCCCATATATGCCTGTGTGGTTGATATAGGGTAAGTCTGGGTGTCTAGGCGCATATGTCTGCCTGATTAAGGATTAAACACATATCTTTGGCGTTTACACATGTATTTTGAACTGCGCTCTGGACTAGCAAATCATATATAATGAATTCAAAAACTCTCTAAATTAGAAGTGACTAGAGTTGATGAAGCAACTTAATATACTGAAGCCGGTAGGTGGGGTAGGGTTTTGGTAAAAAAAAAATATATTATCTGGCGGCCGCCAGGTAAGTTTCTAGCGCCTGCCATTGAAGTATCTGGCGGCTGGCAGATAAAATTATAGTGTTTTTGCCAAATAAATTGTAGCACCCAATGATGTACCTTAATGCACTTGATTGACAGAGGTACACATACCAGGTATTTTTGAAGGCGGTGCTTAAAATCTCTGCCTTTAACGACATCTACAACTTCTGTTTGTACCTAAATCTGGGAGTTTCCTGCCTTATTAGCACTTCAAATCTACACATTATACAAAAATTCACTTTATAAGGTCTTCACCTCATAACTTTAAATTAATGTGTTATTAGATTACATGTCTATATTTGTCGGCTTCTAGTTATTTATGTGGCGGCCGCCAGATAAGTTTCTGGTCGCCATCAGTTATTTGGCAGCCGCCAGATATATTTTTCTAGCGGCTGCCGAATAATTATGCGGCGGCCGCCAGATAAAATATTTTCTTGCCTTGCACCTACAATGTACCGGCTTACGTAGCGATATGATGCTTTTAAATAAACTTTTTATTTATGTATGTATATAAAGTTGTATTTATTTTTTAATCTTTTTATTTCAAATCATTTTATTTAATTTCAATTTTATGGTATTAAGGTATATTTTTATAAAATATGTAGTTGTATAAACTCATTGATGAAAGGTATTGCATATACCTGTATATGACGTTTTTACATTTACCTATCTCATGTCTACACATCTTTTTTTTCATTTTTCGTTTGGAAAAATGTTAAATATTGATTATAAAGTTTATGTATAAACTGTCGATTAATTATGATGTTAAAACCTTCTATATATGTTTACCTTTTATAAGTTAAATTCAGCCTCTTTTAAAGGAAAGTAACATTTAACACACCAGAAAAATATCGCACCTTAAAAAAACATTCGCATAAAATAAATACCATTTTCCGTAAAAAAAAATTTGCTGAAATCTTTATTCTTTTCTATCCTATTTCATTTACGATTTTTACGGTTAAAAAATCCACTGTCCCCCTATTAAAAATGTCTACACCAAATATATACGAAAGGGGGTATACTTAAATTTTCAATTATCACGTGACCGGAAAATGCGTAACATAAATTATTTTCATATTTTTAGGAAAATATGGAGTTTTTCTACAAAATATCAAAATTTCATAAAATTTCGTGAGGGGCCGAAAAACGGCCTTATCGAAACTCCCCCTTTTTCCCGGTGCTTTTGGAATGCTTTACCGATTTGAAACACACACACACACACACACACACACACACACACACACACACACACACACACACTGGGTTTTCAATTTGTACATGTAAATGTTAATTTGGAATACCTATGGTAAGGTTGCATATTTGGCACTTTCTGTATTAGTGATCAGTGTAAGCTCTTTTTAACAGTTTTGTCCCAAGTAGCTAAAATATCAAGGTTGATGTATGGAGCATGACAGTAAGGTTGCAATCACCTGTCACCACATACAGATTTTTTTTAATAAATCAAGTGGGTCTTTCCAATCCATGAAGTTTTAGTCGATGGGGGAGGGGTGCTAACTTTAAAAAAATCCGACCGGATATGCCTATGTTTATGAAGGTTTTTTGTGATATGACATTAATATACGTTAACGTTGTTTATCAATATCTTAGTACACTGGTATGTTACTTACTCTACCATTAAGCGATGGTTTTGTATTTTTGTAGAAAATCAAGTAAACTGGAAAAACTTTTTACATCCTCTGCCATCTAGGCGCAAGATCAAAAATGGCCGTACCATCAAAATTTGTGATAAAAAGAAAGGAAACGAGTGTTTGTCTCAAGAATTTGCCATTAAACTCATGAAAGAAAAACCTTATAGTATAAAAATAAAGAAACCCAAAGCTGAGGAGGACACTGCAATTCAGCAAAATAAAGCCCCTTCTGTGGTGTTGGAACAGGTTGGAATAGGAGTTTGTGATCAGCTTATCAATGAAGACATAAGTAAAGAAGACGAGGGTGTTAGTTTTACATGTATATCTGCTGCGAAACCTTCTTTCTCTAAAATTAATGAAACCAATGAAAATTCCAGAGATTATCCGATAGAAATCAGTGACGATGAGCCTTGCACTAGTGACCCAGGAATCTTTACTAAAAATCCTATAACGTCGGACACTTTTCAATTTGTTAAGCAGCGTGGAACATTCTTAAATACATGTAATTTGAAAGTCAAACAAAGACGAAATGGAGGAAAACTTTATCCTGCGATTAAAAACAAGAGACCTCTAGACAACACGAAGTTCAGTGTTGTTGCTCATATGGATCCACAAGCTGACAAGTACACTGTACAGAGACGACGAAAAAGAGCGAGGAATAGTTTTACAAAGTCTGCAAGAATGGCGAATAAAAAAGACGACTTCGACTTACCGTGCTCTCAGTGGAATATTGTTTTATTATCTCGCTACTTCAGTTTTAAGAGCTGTGTGGAAAAGTTGGAGTTGAGAGAACATATTGACAACCACGATGTCATATTAGACAAGATAATCGAAGACTTTAAATACAGAATGACAATTGCTTCTTCTAATGTCAAACAAAATGTAGAAAAAACTGATGAAACTTTAAATTTTATCTCCCTGTGCAGTACTGAAATCGGTGCGAGATTAGTTTTAAATGAAATCATGTTCCCTCTCTGTGCATATATGGGTCTGTCGATCGAAATTGAAAAGAATGTAAACTGTGTTTTCCTCCCTATGTCCAGATTTGACTACAGAATAGTAAATTCAGATGGGGATGTTGTCGGAGCGGTAGAAGCAAAGAGCGCAGGATCTCTGTGCCAAGAGTCTATAGCGCAGGCGATTGTACAACTCTGTGTACTTCAAACTGAACACCTTGATAAAAAAGACACTGCCCAAGTTATAAACACGCCTCTTTTTAATATTCTGACAGACGGTATCCGTTATGTCTTCATCGTTCTCCAAGGAAAGAAATTACAGTTTGAACAGGTTGATGATAGGGTTTCCGTTAGAGAGGTCAGATCGTGGGAGGACGTGAACAATCTGTTCAGGGCACTGTTGAGCTTGATGAGAAAACAAACTCTTCCGCCGGAAATTATCGACCTTTCAAATGAAAATGACGTGGAACTGATTGAAATGACTTTAATCTAAAAATAAGTATCAGGGAAATGATCATCTTGGGAAAGCACTACCATTTTTATTTTCTGGGGAATGAATCGGAAGTTGTTTTTTCTTCATCTTATTCAAACGTATTGATCAACAAATAAAAGGGATGTTGATCTGCCGTTTAAAAATAGACATTAAACGTTACATGTGATGATGTTTGATTTATACTGTTTCGGTAGTATTTTAGCCATATTTCGGCGGCGTTTCATGTATAAAATATTTTACTTGTACTTCTTTCTAAGGACATTCAGCGTTTTATAATTATTTTTTTCTTATATGAATTTATTAATATGTATGACACTAAATATTATTTAGAAATACCTCATATTTATTATTTTATTCAAATTTATAGAATAATTTATTCACAATAGTGAATGTAATTGGGCAGCAGGCTGAGCTTTTTAGCCCTCTCCATAATTATTTTATGTTGTGATAATAAATTATTGCTCTTTTCATCAACTGTGTCAAATTTTCTTCATACCATGTTTAGACCAAAAAAAAAATAATTCTGGAAAGATAAGCACCACTTTATACATAATGAATCTCTAAACACTTCGTTATTTTTTTTGGGTTTGTTATTTTTTTTTTTTATTTTTTTTGGAGGGTGGGAGAAGGGGGGGGGGGGTGAATGTTAAAGGTAAAGATAACGAACAGTGATCGATCTAAAAAAAATCCATAAATAATACAAATATGTAAAAAGGGCATAAAACACGGACCCCTGGAAATCCTAGAGGTGGGATCAGGTTCCTGTGAGGAGTAAGCATCCCCTGTTGACCTGTCACACCCGCCGTTAGCCCTATGTATTGATCAGGTAGACGGAACTATCCGTAGTCAATTCAGTACAAAAAAAGGCCTATCAATTGGTATGAAACAAGTCAGCCAAAATATGATCCAATGATAGGTTATATTTGCTAACAAGGTCATTATAACGACCATGAAAATTACGAAATGCTGACTTAAAACGAGGCTGTTGAAATCCCTGTAACATCAACTTATCAGTGAGTAGCTTGTCTCGCATTAAAAATTGATCGTTCTCAGAGCAAGCTCTATAGTAGCGAATAAGTTGGGAGACATAAATACCATAAACAAGTAATAGTGTAATATTACTATATAAAAAAGGAAAGCTGAAAATCTAAAGACATCTCGTTTGTCATACAATTTAGTTTTTAATTGGCCTTTATTGTCTATAGTCAGTAAAACAGCGACATATGAAACAGATGTGACAGACTCTGCGGTGTCTTTTATTTCAATTTCACTGGGTTATATCGAGTCGACATCAGAATGAAAATAACTATTGTTAATTGGTAAAACGTCGTCGATATATCTGGATGTTGAATTGAAGGCTACAGCTAGTGTTTTGTGTCATATAAAGGTGTGTATATATCAAGTTTATCTAGCTATAATATATAATGTTATAAGAATCTTATTCAGGAATAGGCAATATATATGAGCATTGCTGAATGATTGATATACATATGTGTATTTTTTTTTTTTTTTTATAAAAAAGATGGACATATTTTAAGAAGTAGTTTATTTTCAACATAGGGCACTGTCATATTTTCTCCAGGAAAAATGTTCAAGGACAATGTACTAGTATTTGTGAACAAAAATAAGTTTTGTTTACTTACGTCGGGAAAATACCTGTAGGTAATGTTTTCACTTACTTTATATTTGTATAATGCAATGTTAAGATACTAAATTCTATACCAAATTTTGTAATTTACTGAAGGTTTTAATTTATTTCATTTTACACCAAAGGGCAGATCGTTTTAACTGCGTAGACATTATCATGGAGTAAGACCTTACCAGTGAGCAGTGTTTATAGCTTTTCCATTTGATTTTTTATTTATTTATTTATCTTTTTGATGATAATCAATATGGGTATGCAGGCGCGGATCCAGGAATTGAAGTTAGGGGGCGCAGAAAGTAGGCAGGGGGTCTGGGGGCCGCTTTGAGGCCCCCAATGGGTCGAGGGCGAAGCCCTGGTGGGGGCCTAGGGGGGCGAAGCCCCCGGGAGCTCCTGGATTATAAAGATTTCGTAGGGTAAAAATGAGGTCTACCAAGTAGACATTTTTACGTTTTCTTGACGAAACTATAATTTACGCTAACTTTGACAGTTTGGGGGGGGGGCGCCGGATGCGCCCCCTTAAATCCGCCACTGGTATGGTATCGCAGTTGCCTGGATTTTTGCCAAGTAAACCAAGAACACGATTCAAAATTAAATACTTATATTATTAAAGCTTTTATTATTAAAATAGTTCTGTATTCGAAAATGCAAATACATGTATGTGATTTTGAAAGGGCATGTTCTAGTCTTTTAAAACATGTTATAATTAAAAAAAAAATTAACATAAAAATTGAAGATTAATAAATCGCATATCTTCCATTCTTGCATGTTCATGAATATATGTTTACTGAAATTAACATTTTAAAGAAACTGAAAGATTTCAAAATGTCATCAGCTTTTTCGTGGCTAGACTGTCCTCAATGGTTTTCCAGAGCCATTGAATGTGCCAGCTAGCCCTAGGCCTGCGACACACGTTTTTCAATCGTGCATGACAGAACAAGTAGGTACATGTATGTATATAATACTAATATTAATGTCATTAACCGTCACCTTTATTCTTCCTGTTATAGAAATTTACACACCTACTGCAGCATATTTGGATAGTTACTATTATTAGACCCCCGTTTCTGTATTCCTTAAATTGCATTTTTTTTTCCGGTGTGTTAATTAGTGCCTCATTTCCGTTTACGCAAGGTGCTAAAAATAACATCACAACAAAGAGACACACCCATGGAGTGGACAGGTAAGGGTTATCATCATTATAGCTCTACCGCATTTCTTTCTCTCAAAGTAAATTAATATAAAAAATTGTTGTATTTTGTTTGCAAATTTCGTATTGGAAATTAAGCGAACATTAATCATGCAGTTAATACATAACTTTAAAAGTTTGCTAATTTCTCTCATTCAATCAATTCAAAACACATTATATAAGAATGTGATGTTAGCTATACATATGTGGATTTATTAAATTGATTAAAATAATGAAATTGGCAATGGGTTTGATATTCCAAAGCATTCTTCTTCAATTTATAGGTGGTAAATGTATTTTTTTGTTTTGGTTTCAAGGAATCAACTTTCGTTTTACTTCCATTTATAAGAGTGAACACGTACCTAGACTGACTCGTAATAACGTCATGCGAAAATCCACCATGCATTTGAAAGCGCTGCTCGGGCCCTTAAACCATAAACTGAGAACAGAAGTCAAAATTTAGATTTAATATCTCGATTTTTATTAAACAAATGTTTTAAAAGTTGCAAGTCTAATATCATATTCAAATGCAAAACACGTAAATTTTGTTTTATCTGTCTTTTCAACATTTTACACAAGTTACTGGGTATACTATTTCAAATTTGAATTTAAAAATCTTATGTAAGTTTATGATATTCAAATTAAATTGTCATTTTATAATGTGTTACTACTTTGACGACTGGGCGAGTGGACATTAAATATACAATTATACGCCAGGGTTTTTTTTTCTTTTTTCTTTTCTTTTTTAAATGGTGATCTCTGAATCAAATACTATAATGTATTGAATGAAATTTCGGTCAGAATTGCTGTTCAGATTTTGACTGGCTTATATGTGTTTCTGAAATTACGTCAGGAAATACTGTTGATTGATTGATTTTCACTCATATAGAAACGTCACCATATACCTGTGAAGGGCTTCAAATTTAGACCTTTACTCGGCACTCAGGGCCATTGAGCAGTGACAATGACAATGAATTTATTCCCATAAACTGACATTAAGTACAGTGTAGAGACATATTACAAATATAGTTAAACATATGTGCATGCGTGAAAACAGAAAAAGTACAAAGTCAAAAAGCTAACAATGACCTAACCAGGAGAGCCAACTCTCTCACAGATAATTTTTATAAATTTACACAGTTTTATCAACTTAACTGTATTTTTGGTATTAAAAAGTTGTTCAAACTTATACACATTTGGATGTAAATAGTAATACTTTGATAATAGTGATAGTCTTGATTTCAAAATAGATGGGTCATTACAATTAAATAAGTAATGATATTCATCACCAATTTCATTTTTTGAACATAACTTACAAATTCTATTTTCTCTTGGTACATCTTGCCATCTCCCAACTTCAATCGGTAATTTATTATTACAAGTTCTAAACCTACATAATAATTTCCAGTACTTACAAGGCAAAGATACTAAATACTTTTCTAAACAAAATGAAGTTTTATATATTCTGTAATGAAGACCTTTAGATGAATTAAACATTACACTGTACCATGACTGTTTAAACTGATCATACAGAGTGTCTACTTTCTTCAGCCAAGATACATTCACTTGTTGGCAAGTTTGCCAGATATAAGAAAGCCCACATTCATTCAGTATAGATTTGATAAAGTTACACCACGGATTATTGTAGTTCTTCAAAACAATTAACAGATTTGATGATAATTTATCACCTTGTAAAAAAGATAATTTGCACCAAAAACTTATCATTCTTACCTTAATATTAATTGAAATAGGGTATCTACCTAATTCACCGTATACCATAAAATTCGGTGTAGATGATTTTACATTTAAAATATGTTTACAAAATTTTAAATGCAATTTTTCAACTAACGATGACTGATTATAACCCCATACTTCACATCCAAATAAAAATACAGGCTTTACAATTTTGTCAAACATATCTAATGTACATTCTACAGTAAGGTTGTGTTTTCTACATTTTCCTATAACACCATACATAGCTTTTGTTGCTTTTTGAAATAATTCCTTAATATTTGTATTAAATGAACCATTTTTTACAAAAAGTTACACCTAAATATTTAAAATTATCTATAATTTCTAATATTTTACCATTTAATGTAAATGGTGTTTCAATTCTTGGATTGCCTTTTCCAAAGATTACAACCTTAGTTTTATTAGTGTTAACTTTCAGATGCCATCGTTTACAATAATTGTTAAAAATATCCAATTGGTGTTAAAGATCTTCTGGGTTTCTTTATCGTGCCAATGCCAAATACTGAAGGTTGTCTATAGCAACGAAGCTTTCGTTTCATGCTATTTTGTAGAAAACCTGATATTTAATTATTGCAATAATTTGAACTAGGAGATAAAATTGTTCAAGACATGAATTTTAAAATTTGCATTCTCCTGAGATTTGTGTGTACGTATTAGCTTTTTGTTACATTTGAAACGGATTTTCCAGTCGACGAGATGTATAGCGGGTTCAAGTAAATGTTCTGATTTGAACGTATTTTATTGTCTATAAAC